CTAATCTCAATACTCACTCACTTAAGCATTGTTTTATCTTGCCATAGATTCAGAGATATTCATCTTTTGCTTTGGGTTATAATTCATAACTACTTTATTTTGTTGTTCAAACTCTTTCCAATTTAACAACTGAAAGACCTTTAATTGGTTCTTAATTCTTTTGCCATACGCCATTCTGTACTTTTAACAAACATTCAAATGATTAATATACAAATAAAAGAATGATAGTAACTATGCTAATAATGTTCACACTATTAGACACAAAGGCCTCAGTGATAAGTAAAATTGCCAACTAACAACACAACAAACTCCATAATATTATTTAAAAGTTCTATTATACTTAAAATTTTTTAAATGTTAATAGTTTTTTTTACAGTATTTGTTCACTTGTTGTATTTCTGAGAATGGAACCCAGAGCCTTACATGTGTTTTTATTTTTTAATTAAAATACAATTACATCACCCACCTCCATTTTCCTCCCTCCAATCATTCTATGTATTTCTATGTATCCCTACCTCCACCCCCACATGCCTTGGCCTCTGGCCTATTTTTCATTGATAAATACGATGTAATAGGAGCTACCTTTATGGAGTGCTTACAGAGCAGATATCATGGCAAGCACTTAACAGTGCATGTTTCTAGTAATCTTCACAACAATCCCATGGCGAAGCTGTAAGAATGCAAGGCCATCCACTGTTCTCAAAGCATGGTCCCTGGGAGCTTATGTGGAGGTTCTAGTAGGGAATACAACTCCTCATACAGCCTTGACTGGAAAGCAGCCTTCCTCTGTGCTGTGTCAGGGAGGAAGGAGGGAGGGACCAGACAGACAAGTGAAGAGAAATGAATGTTCCACCTGCCTACTCAGGCAGGTCAACTGAATCAGCCTTGGATCAGTGAATGATAGAAACCCAGTCAGCCTCACATCCAAACTGTGGTCCCTGCCCCAGAATGGTCAGAGTCACCCTAAAGTGCACACTCTTGGCCTCACCACAGACCACTTTAATCACAAATTCTGGTGCTTGAGAATTTTAACATTCATTCCAGGAGAGTCAGGCAAACGCCAATGCTTGTGAGCAAGGTGAAACCAGAACTGAATTCCTTGTCACTGAACTGGGAGCTCATCAACTTCCTTGCACTTGATTACTTAAGCACGCCCCTACCCACTGTTCTTAGAAGAAAGCCAGTTTCAGGTCATTTCTATTTAAAACTCATCATGAAGGAGTATCCAGTATCCCTCTTCCTTCTTGCCTGGTCATATTGAACCAAATAAATTTATGTACTAAACTCGCCACCAGAGGGAGTCCCTATATCCTTTCTTAGAACAAGCCATGTGGAAATTACTATCTTGTAATTACATTTTAAAATAAATAAACTTTTTAAGGTATTGGGTAAAGGCTGCTTCTAGACAACCAAGATGATTAAAAAAAAAAAAAATGCCTGGTGCCAAGGGTGAGAAACCTCCTTACGAGTCATTGATCAATAAAATTCCAGAGACAATACCAAACAACATACAGGTTTTTTTGTTTTTGCCATTCCTCTTGGCTTCCCCCATAATGAGAGGATAAGATCTTATTGCCATAAGTAGCTGCACAGTAGACAGAAATCAAGCTGGAACTGAGCTGGAAGATTCCTCTGTGCCACTTAGCTTTCCTAGCCCCGGGGGCACTGAAGAGGCAACCGGAGGATAAAAGCATCAAAGGTCTTACCCAACCGTTACCCATTAGAACCACGAGCCCAGCCTTCCAGGCAAGGGATGCTCACTGTACACAGTGGCGGTATTGTCATGGAACTACCAGCTGCTCTCTGATCAGATTTAAGTTCCATTCCAGAGAAGGGAATCCATGCCTGGTACTATAAATGCCTGGTGGATGAGTTCATAGGACCCAGAGAGGAATTGAATACTGCTGTTTAGTTAAATTGATATGGTATCAGATTGCTTTCCATATATTGATGCTTTAGCCAGAGACAAATGCTACCCTCAGCCTAATCAGAGAAGCATCTATTGTCAGTGAATGCTGATGAGTACAACTTGCTTCACAAGATTCTGAGAAAAAAGGACAGATAAGTTGTCAGCCCTCATCAAGACATTTATACTGTCCACCTAAAGCTCAGTGAACACTGCAGAAGAGGGTATGCAAAGAATATGAGATCTACATAATAAGGAGAAGGACCGCAACATACTAACATATACAACTATTACAATCGTGAAGTCACAAAGAACGGGCCTGTCAAGAATCGGGCATGGATGGAGAAGCTCAGGAGACCCTACCTCCAGCTGCTGAACTACGTGACAAATTCTGGAAGAGAAGGAGTCACTGCCTGGATCACCTACCCACTGGTGAGCCTACCATGTTTTAGTGGATACTTTCAAAGCAACAGTCACACAGAAGACCCTAGTTAAACTGGATATATCAATCACAAAACAAAGCCAAAAGTCAGGAATATTTATATATGTATGTATGTCTCTGGTATGTTTAGCCTGCCGCATTGACATTAAAGCAATTTGCTTAACCCACTGTACAAGGACCCATGTTTGGGAAGTTATAATTATATATATAATTAACCCACTGTTGGCAGTTAAATAAGATCTAATTGGTCATTAAACATTTGTGTTCATTTGTTTTTCTTTGGTGAGAGGAATCAGGAGGATGGGCATCAGGGTCTGGCGCCTACTCTCCTGATATTGTTCACTCATAAAGTAGGAGCAGGGAAGTGAGAGACAAAACTTGGGTTAACAATGTAGTAACATTTTTAAATCACAAAAATTCTAAGTTAAAGTCTATTATCGCCTCTGAAATCCAAAACGGGGGATTAAACAATAGTTTTAATAATAATCCATTTGTGGGTATGTTCTGTCCTACCACCTTACTTAAAATGCTTGCATTTAGGAATAGAAAGTCCAGGATATGGAAAATGACTATTTCTCCATAATAGTGCTTATTAATAATAGTATGACCTAATTAACCATGTCCCCATTGGGTCCCTCTTCAGTCCTACTATATAAAATGGGACTCATTAAATGTTTTACAAAATAATGTTATGCTAGCACACATTAAGGTGCAAACCAAGCCTCTGCATCATGTACTACTGAAGGGCACACTCAAACCATATCCACACCACAGCATCTAATGAGATTATGCAGCTAGCAGACTCGAAGCCTGGAGAGAGGCAGAAAAGAGTCCAGTTGAACAGAACCAAAGAACTACCATCCATCCCATTCCTGAACTATCTAATAGGTCTTTGCAAAGCACTTAGTTTCATCACAGTTTCATAACTGTTATGAAGTAGCACTTTTCTGGGTTGTGTCTGGGTTGGTGAGGTAGTTGGAATGTAACTGCCCCCATAAGCTCATAGGGAGTGGCACTATTAGGAGGTGTGGCCTTGATGGAGGAAGTGTGTCATTGTGGAGGCCCGCTTTGAGGTCTCCTGTGCTCAAACCACTCCCAGTGTCTCAGTCTACTTCCTGCTGGCTGCAGATGAAGATGTAGGACTCTCTGCTCCAGTACCACATCTGCCTGCATGCTGCCAGGTCCCACCATGATGATAAGGCTCTAAACCTCTGAAACTATCAGCCACCCCATTAAATGTTGTCCTTTATAAGAGTCGTTGCGGTCATGGTATCTCTTCACAGCAGTAGAAACCCTACGACATTTGGCTAGCTTTATCCCTCCCCCAAGGCTGTGAGCTCTGTAAGAGCAAAGACTCTTCTGACCTTTGGTTAGGACTCTATTCTCAGAGACGATGGGCATTTGGCAGCTGGCTTCTGCATAAATACAACAGAGGAGGGAGGCATTTACAACATGAGAGAGCAGGGGTCTCTAAACAGAGGTAGTTACAGGAATTACAAGGTGAGAGGATGGGGGATTTAAAGCTAAAGTTACACCAGAGTGGGGCATCCATGTGTGCTAAATAACCCTTCACACAGTTGTAGAGGGCTCTGATGAGCACAGGACAAAAATCACAACGCAAAATCAGGACTATGCTGGTCAAGTATGGGAGAAACCCAGTGAAGCAGATAAAGCTTGAATTTGGACCCTGAATTCATTGGAAAAAGAAATTTCTCTTTCTCTCTCTGTCTTTCTCTTCCCTCCCCTTTATTAACTCCCCCCACCCACCCACCACACACACACACACACACACACACACACACACACACACACACACACTTGTCTAGGCCATGGGTGTTCAGAAGTCCGTGTGTCTTCAAAGCAGGGTCTTTGATTCAGGTCCACACCCTTGCTTCTTTCTTTGACTTATTCTCTGGGTCTAACATAATCTGCTGGGGGGGGGGTGTGTGAATCTAAAGATGAGGCAGTAAGAATTGTTTGTTTTGCTATCTAAATTCACTTTGACTGTCTTTTTGTTAGTCTGGTTTATTTTGTTGTTGTTGTTTTGTTTTGTTTTTGGTCAATTTGACACAAGCTAGAGTTATCCTAGAAGAGGGCCCTGGATTCAGGCAATGCCCCCATTAGATTGGCCTGTAGACAAACTTGTAAGGTTTCCTTGGTTGATGATTGAAGTGGAAGGGCCCAGCCCACTGTGGACAGTGCCACCCCTGTTCCCGGGCTCCTGGGGTGTGTAAGAAAGCCAACTGAACCAGACAGCAAGCAGAGCTCTTCCATGGCCTCTGCTGATTCAGTCCCTGCCTGCAGGTTCCAGCCGGCCCTGAGTTCCTCCATAAACTGTCGGGATATGTCAGCCAAAGAAACCCTTTCGTCCCCAACTTGTTTCTAGTCATGATCTTAACACAGCAATGGAAATCTAGCCCACTCAGCTGCTCAGCTTCTGGGAGAGGCCACATTGTCACCTTCAGCAGAGAGGGGCAGGGACAAGCATGGCATTAAGTCGTCACGTCCAGAAGCAGATCCCCGACGCCATTCACCTTTGCTTTCACGCCCCCCTTCCGGTTACTGGTGGGTTGCTTTTCTGCTTTGCTTGCCGCGGCCCGGGAGGGCTAGAGAGCAGCACGGAAGGAGGATGCTCTGCGGTCCCTCAGCCCAATGCCCTCCGGTCTCCCTTGCCCTGCTCTTGACCGCAGGGGCGCGCGCCGCGTTGCCACGGAAACGCTGGGCAGGCGCGGCGGCGCGCACTGCGCGCTCTCGCCTCCCGGTGGAAGTGGCGGCGGCTCCTGTGCCCGCGCGCCCTGGCGGCCCGGAGCCGCGCTCGTTGGGCTCCCACCCCGGGTCTCCGGCGGGGAGCAAGGCAAGATGTTGAGGCGCAACCTGGAAGACCGGTAACCGCCCGGGGCCCGGTCCTGCAGGCCGCCCGAGGGAGAGGGTCGGGTGGGCCAGGGGAGCCGGGCCCCGGGCTCGATGCCGGCCGGCCGGGTGGGAGGAGGCCGCACGGATCCCCGAGCGCTCTGCACCCCGTCCCGCAGGCTTCAGCGAGTACTGGGCCCAGAGAGTCTCCGGCCGGCACATCCCACTGAGCTCGGCCGGCCCCGCCGAGGTACGGAGCCCGGGAGGCCGCTGGGCCCGGGCCAGCGCTCACAGCTGCCGCCCCTTCCCGGCGGGCCCGGCCGGGCCTAATCCCGGGCCTGCACGGTCCCAGGCGTGGGGTCCTAGAGAAGGACGGCCTCAGGGGGAATTGGGGAGGTTGGGCTTCGGGATGCCCCGGGAATATTTGCATAGGACATTAACGGGACATCATCTTAATGTCTTTAAAAACAGTCTCTCTCTCTCTCTCTCTCTCTCTCTCTCTCTCTCTCTCTCTCTCTCTCTCTCTCTCTCTCTCTCTCTCTCTCTCTCTCTCTTTTAGAGACGCTCAAACAAAACAACTGCAGGATGCTGTCACCAATGTGGAGAAGCATTTTGGAGAGCTTTGCCAAATCTTTGCTGCTTATGTACGAAAAACTGCCAGGCTTCGAGACAAAGCTGACCTCCTGGTCAATGAAATCAACGCATATGCCTCTACGGAGACCCCAAATTTAAAGCAGGGTCTGAAAAACTTTGCTGATGAGTTTGCCAAACTTCAAGATTACCGCCAAGCAGAGGTATGAAGTGCAGTCATGGTGGCATTATTATAAGCCGAAGAAGTAATGTGTAGGAATTGTGGAGACCTTTGCATGGTAACTTATCATAACAGCGGCAAATGCACACTTGATGAAGCATTTCCTGGCCGTGAGCCCACTACAGGGAAGCTTTCTATGAACTCACAGCTTTCAAACTAAACTTTGGGTGTGTTTCAAGTCTTGAAATTCCCGATGTATTTGCCAACTTTGGTTACAGAGGCCAAGTGTCCAGAAAAGGTGGCAAATACAGCATTGGTAGGGAAGGAAAGCACCTGCATGCCCGGGGCGCATCGCGTGCGTTAAAGATGAGAACCCTGAAAATGACAAAAATGAACAAAGTACTAATTACTGGGCAGCAGAGAGCTGATATTCCCTTGGTTTGAAAGTTGAACAATCCGAAAGCTGTGGTTTATAAACGGAAGCAACCCAAGTGATATATCTGAAACTTGGCTGTGTGGTTGCTTTGAGTGGCCCGAGTCTTGCTTGCCTTTGTGGGTTCTTTCTTAAAAAGCAAAACCAACAAAAAAACCCACATGTGCTCTTCCACATACTTCTTTTAAATGCTAGTTAACTTATGAAATTTGCCAAGTTCAAACTCCATTGCTCTTTTACTTTTTTAAACAAGTGCCACTGTTCTTTGTTTAAAGCCTAAAACAAATTTCAGTTACCAACCATTTTTGAACCTATCGTGATTCTGCATACAAAATTTGAGTCACTCTGGAATACTGTAAGGAAAATGTTGAGTTCTTGGCATACATTTCTTTTACAACAAGCAATACTCAAATTACACAAGGTTTAATGTTTCAGAAGTAATGTTTAATTCATTGATAATGCTAAGGTCCCAGTTTGCCAGTACTTTTCCCTTTCTAGAAAGGTTTTGTGCTACATACCAAATAGCAAAGTGAATTGATTTGCATCTGCTCTGCTCTGTTTCCCTGCTTACCAAATGGTGGAGATGCTAATGAACATGACAAAGGTAGGCAAGGGAGAGAAATGGACACCTCAGAACAGGTCTGAATAATCCCCACTGTGCCTGCTACTGGCAATGGTGTAAACTGCCCTGAGTACTCAGAACTCTGATTTTAGAATTCTGAATGTTTAAATTACTGATGCGAACTTACTTTTTACAGTTTACATTTCCTAAAATCTTTTAAAATGAAACATCCGTATAGCATCACTTTCAGAAACTAAAGAATACATATGAAATGAAATTTCATTGATTAGGTATGAAATGGAATGGCATTGATTAGGTAAACGTGTATTATTTTTAAAAAGCATTTTATTTGCTGTAAATATGCTTGTTTTAAACAATAGATGTCATCTACTTGCCCACCCTGACAAAGTTTCGATTCCTCATCATTTTTGTGTGTATGTATGTGTAGAAAAGATACTTTTTCAGTCTCTTTTACTAGTGTTAGTAAGAGAATTGCTATTATTTTTTTTATGAAAATTTAAGTAAGTATGAGAAAATGTTTAATTCTAGATAAAAAGAGGTCTGCTTGGCAGATCAGCATCGCTAAGCCCACTTACCTTGTTCTCTAGGCTTTGATACGTCATAAATGGCTGTCTTAAAAAATGCAGCTAATACAGTAATCCCTAAGCTGTTTGCTTTTGAAAGTCATGTTTCTTTAGTGTTCCTAGTAACACTGTATCTTTCTGAAAAGTTGAGCTATAGGAATTAGGAGACAGATATCTGACAGTATCTGCTTGAACACCTGATGAAACCGGTAACAGTCCTAAAACTATAGATGTCTTAAAACATCCTGGACACTGCAGCTGTAAGGGAAACACTGCTTATTCCCGGATGAGCACTTTGAAGTGCCAGGCACATTCCTGTCAGGCTATGTCCCAGGTGCTTGTGACTGAGGCTATTGCCTTGTGGTTTATGCTTTTAATGTTTGAGTTTAGATTCTGAGTATTAGCAGTAGCCAGATGATTATTACCTGTTATAAAAATGTCAGAGGGTATCATCTTAAATTTCAAAAGTATTCATCTCTACAGTATTTATTTCAGGTTAAACAGTACTGTTTAAATTTTGATATTTCTATGTTTCTTTTCAGTTATATTTTATATAATTTTCAATAGGTTGAAAGGCTTGAAGCCAAAGTAGTTGAACCTTTGAAAGCTTATGGAACCATTGTAAAATTGAAACGGGTAAGTAAATCCATCTTCTTATCTATTTGATAGTCTGACAAGGTATGAATTTTTGTCTTTTTATAATGAATACAAAATAACATGTAGTTATTCTTTTTACATACTTTGGAAAATTTTTGGAACTTTAAAAATAATATAGCACATTTATCAAACATCCTAAGTATTCTAATATTCTACTATAGCAGTAAAAGTCATTATTATGGAAAAATTTCAAAATAATGTAATGGATGTATTTATATATTTTTGTTTTAAAGTTGGTGCCTTGTATCTTTAAAATCTGACAAACTTTAAAATCAAATTGGAGTAAAATTTACAAACACTAAAATTCTTATTTTTTGGTGTTTGTTTTTCATAAATATATATTCTCTTAGAAGCATCACCTCAACAAAAATTATAGTCATGTTTGTATGATTTATTTTTCATTCATATTTTGTCTTCCTTTGAGAACACATCAATGAAATACGTGCTCCCGTGTGCACACACATAGTACTCATAGTGCCTAGATAAACAGGAAGTAGTCTTCTATTCTTAACATAAAGTGTTTGGTTCTTAAGTTAGAAAGCTTATTAACAAAAAATGCTTATTTACAGGATGATCTCAAAGCAACATTAACAGCAAGGAATCGAGAAGCCAAACAGTTATCACAGTTAGAAAGGACACGCCAACGAAACCCATCTGATCGACATGTAATTGTATCCTTTGGATTTTGATCTTTAAAAAAAAAAAAAACATAGTTTATAAGGTGTACAGTACAAAAGTAAATTGAAATTATATATCTCCAGGTCTAAGTGTGTGGAGAATTCTCATATCCATTTAGGAACTCTCACAATAGAAACTAGACAGCTGAAAACTAGTTATACTTCCTGACTCAATGCCTTTCAGTTTTCAGATAGACTATCCCCCAATCTACTTAGAAATGTAAATGTTTGGGGGCTAAATTAAAAAGTAAACACTAATGTCTCAGTGCCCTACCTGCCATATTTCTAAGGAAGAAAGGAAAATTCCCACCATGGCCTACATCAAATTAAAAAAGGAAAATTACATGAAACCATAGCTATAACTTTCAGTCAACCCTTCAGGAGATTTGAGTATAATTAAAGTTATTGCAAGACACTACAGTGTCTAAATAGGAGTTTTTGCTGTAAAACAATTACTTCCTGAACTAGGATGTGTCTCATTTGTGACAAACTAAAACATAAATTGGTAGCACTAGCATCTCCCCGCTGCCTTTCCCCACCCTACCAAACCTGGTCCCTGTGCCTCTTTCTACTCACACTGCTAGGCTGAACACCACATGAGGAGTGGCTCTTGGTGGGCACCGGAGGATGAAGAACACTTCTGTTTCTGAAGATAGTCCCTGGTAGTGAGTTAGGGCTGCACTAGCCTGGTCCATCTTCCTCTGGACCAAAAGTACTTAAGCCCAACCTTGTACTTTAAACAAGAAGCAGCAGAGAGGCGGTTAAGTGGGCTGGTGCAGAACATTTGCTGGACATTAATTGCAGCTTAAGATTTCCAACTGGAGTCTGTTTTAAGTAAGCTGGACAAACCAGAGAAAGCTAATCCATGCCTGACAACTCTGTCAGAGACTAGGGAAGCACTAAGGAAGGAATCAAATTTGTTTTGGTCTTAGGGAACAGTCTCTAAACACAAGTAAAAATACAGGGTCTGGAATCCTGCATGGTTGTTGATTGAATCATAACCATTCATATTGATCTTTAACACAAAAATGAATATACTGCTAAGTCCCACTATGCTGGCCTGTACATGCTCTGTTAACATTGCTGTAGAGGAAGGAGGTAGTCCTTATGGCACACCTAAAACAAGATGGGAAAAGAACAGTATAAGTTAGTTCCAGGTGAATTGTTCTGCCCTCTAGATAGATCTACTTAAGAATTCTGACAACCTGGAACTGCAATGACAGTATACATGTAAATGTGTCCAGTATAAAAATAAAAATGTCCGGTCAAGAGCACCATAGTATTTTTACCAGGTAGACCCTTACAACTCAACTATTTACTTAGAAGTAGGATAAAGTTCAATATGTAAAAAGACCCCTTTTGTGACTATAATTCTAAAATCTACCTCCCCACCCCAAGGCCCCAGATGACTTCTGAACAGGCTGTGACACAGTTTGAATTCTTGGCCAAGTCTACTGGATACACTGGTGACTATTCATGGAATTGGATCTTAACATTTCCTACTTGAGATCGGTTCAGTGTAGAATTTTGAGCAATTTTCAGGGAATATAGTAATTATCACAAATGTATATTTTTCTTTGCTAAAGAGTGACTGTGGTGAGTTCTGTGCTTAGGAAGAGGATTTCAGAGTTTAGAAATTGTATGAACATTGCTAGAAGTTGGAATACAAAGACCCCAGCCATGGCTTCTGCTTCCCTATGCTTTCTTTAATCTCTGCAGAGATTCCCTGTTTTAATGAGAGGGGCAAAGACAAGATACAAAATAAAAGTCACAAGAACTGTATGTCATAGACAAAATAAAAGTCACAAGAACTGCATGTCACATACAAAATAAAAGTCACAAGAACTGCATGTCACAAACAAAATAAAAGTCACAAGAACTGCATGTCACATACAAAATAAAAGTCACAAGAACTGTATGTCATAGACAAAATAAAAGTCACAAGAACTGCATGTTACATACAAAATAAAAGGCACAAGAATTGCATGTCACATACAATAATCTTTAGGAATCAGCCTCTGAGTATTCTCAGGAAAAAAAAGATCAGAGATCAAATACCTGACAGCAGCTGTTTTCAGGGCAGCCCTTCAAAGGGTGTCTACTTTACATTTGAATTTTCTGTTAAAAAAAAAAAAAGCCCAGAAACATATAGAAATATTGTTAAATAGTTTTGAATGCTAGTTAGTATTAAATTGGCAGTCTTTATTTTTTAAAAACTATACTTTATATGGTAAATATAAACAAATATAGATACAAATTGATATACCTTTAATTGCTTATCTTCAAAGTTTAAGAGCAATTATATAAAGTTATATGATTTTATTTAAAAATGTTCAATTCTCTTTGAAATGTACTTTTTCCTATATGAAAATTTTCAGTCGCAGGTGGGCAATAAAATGGTGTGTCAAGAAATGGATCCTGAGAGTAAACCCTTTTACTTGTTTCAATTTATAGATTTTTTTAAAAGAAAGCAATAGCTAAATGTCGGAATATTATCACATCTCAAAACTTTGATTACAAATGCCAATATATGACGTTAGAGAAAACACAATTTTAGTATAATGCACAAAAGCTTACTAGAAATAATTTAATCATAAAATTGAGGTATGTCTTTGTAGTTGTTAGTATTGCTTAACATTTAAAGTATAGGAACAACTGTTGTCCTAAAGGAAAAGATGCTTAAAGAGAAATAACATAATTCAATTGGAATTTTCTGCACTTACCAGTACCATTGCCTCAGTATATACCTGAATTCTTGATAGGCAACCAGAGTGACATAGGAAACAGCTTTTTCAAACTCTCTGGAGCTGCAATTCATAAGTAAATACAATATGTAGATAGTAGCCATGATCATTTGTTTTACAACACAGTTCTAGAAAGTACAGATGTGTCACCATGTATAAAGCAAAACATTAAAATCTGCCACTTAATATTATTAGTTACATTATATATAATATATAATGACCATAAACGAAACCAAAGCAATGTAATGTTGTTAGCTTGTAAGAGTGTAATTGATCTGATTAGGCTGAGCTTGATGTTACATGCCTGTAATGCCATCATTTCGAAGGTAAAAGGAGGATCAGAAGTTCAAGGTTATCTTCCACCAGATAGTAACCTTATAGCCAGCATAGACCATGTTATATATATTCCCAAACTATACAGATACAGGTACAGGTACAGATACAGGCAGAGATACAGTGACACACACCTGTAATCACAGCTGTCAGGAGGCAGAGGCTGGAGAACTTGAGTTTCTGATCAGCCTGTTCAGAGGATCCTAGGACAGCCCAGGCTCTACAGGAAGACTGTAATGCATTTAGGGAACTCTGAGAAGACCCTTGAGTCTCACTAGTTTCAAGTGCTTGTATTTTGTAATAATAATTAAAAAAATGGTTCTGTGTCATGAAAATTGCTATAGATGTAGGTCTTTATACTGTGTTCTTAGTCCTTCACAAAGATTTATTTATTTAGTTCATTTAATCTATAAAATAGTCTCATGAGATAATCTTTATTTTACAGATAATACAATGTGAGAGCATTGGAAATACTAACAAATTATGTCTTTTCTTTGGGGATGAGGGTGAAGGAGAGAGGAATTTAAAAAAAAAAAAAAGGATAACGTGATGAATGGCACAGACTGACATAAAGGAAGGTAGCAGAAAACAAAATACTTCTAGAGTACTCAATCCAAGGGCTGCAGGGAAAAATAGCTTTAAAGGCAGCATTTTTGTTTTGAGATTAAATGTCACTTAACAAACTTAAAATTCTATATTGTGCATCATGTCTAATAGAGTTCTTTCATTGTGTGTGGCAAAAGGTAAATGTGAACAGTTTATACTCTTAGGCCCTAAAAGCTAACACCTGAATTGTAACTTTTACCACAAAATTCAGCTACATGGATTCTGATTCAGATTGTTCCTTTTGTTGGGGGATTGATTTTTTTAGGCAGAAACTGAATTGCAGAGAGCCACAATTGATGCGACCCGAACAAGTCGTCATTTGGAGGAAACTATTGACAATTTTGAAAAGCAGAAAATAAAGGACATAAAGGTAATTAACTTAATACAGAATGTTTTCTAATGTTGTTTAAAGTTAGGGAAGAAGTAATGTACTGATTTTTAGCCCAGAATCCTTAAGTTTAAAAAAATTTTAGACCAAGATATAGCAATTGTTACTATTATAGGGGATATGTGTGTATACACACACACACACACACACACACACACACACACACACACACACACATTCTGACTGCAGTTTCCTCCCCCCACCCCTTCACCTCTCCTCCTAGTCACTTCCCCCAACCCCCATCCATTCCTCCTCCATTCCTCTTCAAAAAAGGGCAGGCCTCCCATGGATATCAGCCAGCCATGGCATAACAAGTTGCAGTGAGACTAGACACAGTCTCTCCTATTAAGGCCGAAAGACGAACCCAGTAGGAGGAAGGGGTCCCCAAAACAGGCAGAGTCAGAGACAGCCCGTGCTCCCACTGTTAGAGGAGTCTGAAGAAAATCAAGCTACACAGCTGTAACATACATGCAGAGGGCCTAGGTCAGTCCCATGTGGGCTCCCTGGTTGTCAGTTCAGTCTCTGTGACCCCCATGAGCCCAGGTTAGTTGATTCTGAGGTTTCTTGTGATGTCCTTGACCCCTCTGGCTCCTACAATCCTTCCTCCTCCTCTTCTGTAAGATTCCCCAAGCTCAGACTAATGTTTGGCTATGGGTCTCCATTTGTTCCCTTCAGTTGCTGAGTGAAACCTCTCTGATAATTAGGCTAGACACCAATCTATGAATATAGCAGAATATCATTAAGAATCATTTCATTGACTTTTTTGTGGGGGGGCAGTTGTCATTGGTTCTATCCTAGGTCTGTAGGCTCTCCAGCCTCTGGGTCCTGGCAATCCAGGCAGAGTCAGGGATGGGCTCACTCATATGGCAGAGGTATAAGACTAGACCAGTCATTGGCTACCTACTCCCACAATCTCTGGACCACCCTTTCCTTACTTAGCAGGCTTCATAGACAGAACAGACTGTAGGTTGAAGGTTATGTGGCTGTGCTGGTGTCCCAATTCCTCCACTGGAAGTCTTGCCTGGTCACAGGAAATGGCCAGTTCAGACTCCTTATTGTCCATTGCCAGAAGTCCTAGCTAGGGTCACCCCCATAGATTTCTGGGAATTGCATTGCACTAGGCTTCTAGTTTTTCCCAGAGATGTCCCCCACATTCCAATTGTCTCTCCTGTTACTCTTTCCCTCCGTCCTCCCCAATCTGATCCTTCCTATTCCCATTCCTGCCCCTCATCAAGACCCCTCCCTCCAGCCACCTGCAATATCTATTCTGTTTTGTCTTCATGGTGAGATTTATGAATCCCCCTTGAGCCCTGCTTATTACATAGTTTCTCTGGATCTATGGATTGTAGCAGGGTTGTCCTTTACTCTATGGTTAATATTTACCTGTATATAAGTACATACCATGCTTGTCTTTCTGTCACTCTATAAACATAGTTGAGCAATTGCCCTTGTGATATACCAGGAATGGTATAGCTGGGTATTGAAGTAGAGCAATTCCCAATTCTCTGAGAAACTGCCATATTGATTCCCAAAGTGACTTACAAGTTTGCACTCCCACCAGCAATGGAGGAGTTTCCCCCTTACTCCACATCCTTGAAAGCATGAGCTGTCACTTGTGTTAATGATCTTAGCCATTATGACAGATATAAGATGGAATCTCAAAGTAGTTTTAATTTGCATTTGTCTGATCACTAAGGATGTAGAACATTTCTTTATTTGTTGGTCATTTGAGATTCCCCTGTTGAAAATTCCCTGTTTAGATCTGTACCCCGGTTTTAAATTGGACAATTTGGTTTGGTGATGTCTATTTTCTTGAGTTCTTTGCATATTTTGGAGATCAGCCCTCTGTTAGGTGTGGGGTTGAAAATCTTTTCCCATTATATAGGCTGCTGTTTTGTCCACTGGATAGTATAATTTGCCTTATAGAACTTTTTCAGTTTAATGAGGTCCCATTTACTGTCAGTCTTAGTGTCTGTGCTACTGGTGTTCTATTCAAAAAGTTTTCTCCTGTGCCAATGCATTAAAGGCTATTCCCTACCTTCTCTTCTTTCAGGATTAGTGTATCTGGTTTTATATTGAAGTCTTTGAACCACTTGGACTTGAATTTCATGAGGGGTGCTAAATATGGATCTATTTGATTCTTCTACATGCCAACTTCCAGTTAGGCCAGTACCATTTGCTCAAGATGCTTCCTTTTTATATTTCCAGCTTCTTTATTTAAAAAAAAAAAATTAGATATCCATAGAAGTGTGGATGTATGTCTGGGTCTTCAATTCTACTCCATTGATCAATCTTTCTGTTTTAATGCCAATAACGTGGTTTTTATTACTATGGCTCTATAGTAGAGCTTGATTGAAGTCAGGGATGGTGATGCCTCCAAAAATTCATTTATTATACAGGATTGTTTTGGCTAGCCTGGGTTTTTTGTTTTTCCATATGAAGATATGAAGTTGAGTATTGTTCTTTCAAGGTCTGTAAGGAATTGTGTTGGAATTTTGATGGGGATTGCATTGAATCTGTAGATTGTTTCTAATAAAATGACCGTTTTTACTATGTTAATCCTACCCATCCAAGAGCATGGGAGATCTTTGTATCTTCTTATATCTTCTTCAGTTTTTCTTCTAAGACTTGAAGTTCTTGTCAGATGTCTTTCACTTGCTTGGTTAGAGTTACACCAAGATATATTATTTGTAGCTATTGTGAAAGATGTTGTTTCCCTGATTTTTTTTCTCACCGCATTTATCATTTCTATATGGGAGTGCTACTAATTTTTATTTTTTATTTTTATTTTTTTTAATTTTGTATCCAGCCTGTTCCCTGAAGATGTTTATCAGCTGTAGGAGTTCCCAGGTAGAATTTTTGGGACCACGTACATATCATCTGCAAATATCAATACTTTGGCTTCTTTCTAATTTGTATTCCTTTATCTCCTTTTGTTGCCATGCTGCTCTAGCTAGAACTTTGAGTACTATATTGAATAGATATAGAGAGAGTGGACAGCCTGTCTTGTTCCTTATTTTAGTGGAATTGCTTTGAGTTTATCTCCATTTAGTTTGATGCTTGCAGTCAGCTTGCTGAATATTCCTTTTATTATGTTTAGGTATGTCCCTTATATCACTGATCTCTCTAATACTTTTTTTAAGTTTGTTTATATGGTGGATCACATTGATAGATTTTCGTATGTTGAACCATCCCTGAATCTCTGGGATATCTTTTTGATGTATTCTCGGATTTGGTCTGTGAGCATTTTATTAAATATTTTTGCATCAATGTTCATGAGGGAAATTGGTCTGTAATTCTTTTTCTTTGTTGACTCTTTGTGCGGTTTGGATATCAGGGTGATTGTGGCCTAAAATGAATTTGAAAATGTTCCTTCTGTTTCTATATTCTGGAATAATTTGCAGAGTACTGGTATTAGCTCTTCGAAGGTTTGTACAATTCTGCGCTGAAACCATCTGGCCCCGGCCTTTTTTGGTTGGGAGACTTTTGGTGGCTGCTTCTATTTTACTAGGAGTTATAGGGCTATTTAAATGATCTGATCTTTATTGAACTTTGGTAAGTAATATTTATTGAGAAAATTGTCTATTTCTCTTATATTTTCCAATTTTATGGAATACAGGTTTTTGAAGTAAAACCCAATGAGTCTTTGGATTTTCTTGGTGTCTGTTGTTATGTCCCCTTTTCATTTCTGATGTTGAGTATTCTCTCTGTGTGTCATTTAGTTTGGATAAGGTTTTGTCTATGTTGATTTTCTCAAAGTACAAACTCCTTGTTTCATTGATTCACTGTATTGTTGCCTTTGGTTCTGTTTTATTAATTTGAGCCCTGGATTTAATTATTTCCTACCATCTACTCCTCTTGGGTATGTGTGCTCTTTTTGTTCTGGAGCTTCCAGGTGTGTTTTTAAGTTGATAGTATGAGATCTAATTTCTTTATGAAGGCACTTAGTGCTATGAACTTTCCTCTTAGCACTGCTTTCACTGTGTCCCATAGGCTTGGGTATGGTACACATTCATTTTCATGGGATTCTAGAAAGTCTTTAGTTTCTTTCTTCATTTCTTCTTTGACCCAGTGGTGATTCAGTAGAGAGTTGTCCAGTTTCAATGAGTTTGTAGGCTTTCTGTTGTTTCTGTTGTTGTTGAAATCCAGCTTTAGTTCATAATGATCTGGTAAGGTATAGGAAGTTATTTCAAATATCTTGTGACCACGTATATGGTCAGTTTTGCAGAAGGTTCCATGAGGTGCTAAGAAGACAGTATATTCTTTTATTTGGATGAAATGTTCTCTAGATGTCTATTAAGTTCATTTGAGCCATGTCTGTTAGTTCCAGTATTTCTTTTGTCTGGACAATCTGTCCATTGGTGAGAGTGGAGTATTGAAGTGTCCCAAAATTAATGTGTGTGGTTTGATGTGTGATTTAAGCTTTATTAATGTTTCTTTTACAAATATGGGTACCCTTGCATTTGGAGCACAGATGTTCAGAACTGAAAGATCATTTTGGTGGATTTTTTCCTTTGGTGAGTATGAAATGTCTTTCCCTATCTCTTTGGATTAACTTTGATAGATATTAAATAGCTACACCAACTTGCTTCTTGGGTCCATTTACTTGGAAAATCTTTTTCTAACCCTTTACTCTAAGGTAATGGCTATCCTTACCTAGATTTTCCATCCCCAGGGTTCTCTGAGTTTGTTTTCTTTATTGCTTCTATTTCCGTTTTCAGGTATTGAACAGTTTTATTCATTTCCTTCACGTGTTTGTATTTTCCTGGATTTCTTTAAAGTATTTATCCATTAAGGACCTCTATTGTCTTCATAAGACTGGATTTAAGATCATTTTCTTGTGCTTCAGCTGTGTTAGAACTTCCCAGGTGGCTGTAGTTGAGTAGCCAGGTTCTGGTGGTGCCATATAGCCCTGGCTGGTGTCGATTGTGTTCTTACACTGGCCTCTAGCCATCTGGATTTGGAGTTATTAGAGGTTTAGGCGCTGGTTTCTGAGTTTATCTTTGTTAGTTGGATGTTTTTTCCCTTGGTTTCTGTTTCTTCTCTGGTCATCTTGCTTGAGTGGCCCAGGGTCTAGTGATCAGTAAGTTTTCAGATCCAGCAGAGTGTCTCCCCTGAGGATTTTGTGACCTGCATAATCTCTGGAGTTCTGTGTGCCAACTCACTTATGAGGTTCCAAGTACCTGTGTGGCCTCTGGGGTTCTGAGTACCCCCTTGGTCTAATATGTTGTGGCCTCCACTGGAGTTGTGGGATATGGAGCCCAGGGGAAGGGGTGCTGCTGGAGGCTGTTGTGTTGTGTGTACTTAAAGGAGTGTTTGCAGGCAGTCGGTGGCATCTTACCCGCAGTCCCTAGTGCCAGCATGGCCTCCAACAAAGCAGAAGTCTTCTGGAGAATCAAGGGACTGTATTCTTAACAAGCTAACATGTATTTATGTATCAGACACCATTCCCCCACACCTTAAACAAAGTATTTCATTTACACCAACTTTACCTTAAAAAAAAATAAGCAAATATACATAGTAACTTACTCAATGAACTCCAACCAAAAATATAAACTGTAAACCAGTTGTGTTTTTAAACCTGTGATTTCCATTATAGTAGACTGCTATTAATTATTATAGTAGACTGGCATTAAATTAACAGCTGTTATTTTCAAAACTTTAAAAAGATTAAGAAAGCAGACTGAGCAAACATGATGAGCAAGCCAGTAAGTAGCTCCCCTCCCATCAGCTCCTGCCTTGAGCTCCTGTCCTGACTTCCTTCAGTGATGGACTCAAGTGTAAGCAAATAAAGCCCTCCCCCCCCCCCCCCCGCTTGCTTTTTGTCATAGCGTTTCATCACGGCAATAGTGCCCCTAATTAGGACAGTAACATAAATGGTATCAGTGATGAAGTGTTTGGTTCCAAGTGTCCATAACTGCCTTTACTGTGTGACAGACCTGCAGATTTGACTTTTCTGCAGGTCTTTGAGGACAGTGCTTTAGGTGTGTTTGAAAGGTCTTAACTATTGCTCAATGATCATTTTACATGCTATTAAAAAGGAAGGAGTCTGGACTCATTGACCATTTTCCTATGTCAGCTGCTATTTTTGCTACATTGTCAATAAAATAAAAGATACCTGACACATAGTTCATTCATCTCTGAAAGCAATGCATTTGAATATTTCCTGGGCATAGCTTTGAAACATTTCAGAGCCTCTAAACTAAATCACAGGCTCTACACTGTGCTATGTAAAAACAGGTTATTTCTCAGAGTATCCAAAGAGGATGTCCTAAAATAACATCTTTTCCAAGTGGAGAGAATATGGGAGGTATGGAGTTCTACAACTTCTGACATTCTTTGTAAAATTTAGGGTTAAGAGTTCTAAGAAAATTAGCATTGACCTGAACAAGGAGAGAAGGAAGGATGATTCCCTTCGCTGCTAACCCTTCCTTACACCTGCAAATGTTTTTCACGTGAAGCCTGTGACCTTTGGGTTCACTTTTGTCTCCCACCTTTATGCATGCTACCTCAACAGGTGTTATAAATGTCCTGCTCATACTGAATACAAAATTGAGGCAAAGGAAGTGAGTGCATATTTCCTAGCTTCAGTGACCAGTTCCAGGGATTTCTGAAATAGATGAAGGCTGCACAGTGTGTCCGAGTTCCTCTCCATGTCTGCAATACTGTGTCCCTCGAAAAACGCCTCTCGGTGTTCACAGGGAGAAAAGAAAATCACTTTGGAAAAGTAGTTAGTACACAACTCACTGCTTTTTAAGGTGTGTGCAGCCATCACCAGTTCTGGAACATTTTTATCACCTCAACTTTGTCCACTTTAGCTTTACCTCGCTGCCCTGCTTACAGGCCTAAGAAACCACCATTCTAGACATTCCACCATGAAAGGAATGATTTTTCTGTTTTATTTCACTTAGCATGTTTATAGGTTTATCCATGTTGTAGTCTGCAGCAGTCTTTCATTGGTTTTGGCCAAATAAATGTGATTGTACGATACTATTTTGTTTATCCATTAGTCAGTTAATGGCTACTTCAATTGCTCCTACCATTTGGCTGTTTAATTTAAACATTCCTATACATGTTCTTGTGTAGAAATACATATATGAATTTGCTAGATCATACAGTAACTGTTAACTATTTGCATAATTGCCAAACTGTTCCAAAGCAGCAAAATATATAATTTCCTATGTATATTTAAGAAATATACATAAATTACTAGATCATGCAGTAACTGTTTAACTACTTGAGGAAATGCCAGACTGTTCCAAGATGGCTTTCTCACTGTACACCCTTCCTAGCATTGTATGATGGTACCTAATTCTTTTGACTCCTTACTACTTCCTTTTTACAATTTTTATTGTAGCCATACTGGTGTGTGTAAAGTAGCATCTTACTATAGTTTTGATAATCGTCAATAACTTTTTTGTTTTGGAGACAGGGTCTCTCCTTGTAGCCCTGACTGTCCTAGAACTCACTCTGTAGATCAGACTGGCCTCAGACTCACAGAGATCCACCTGCATCTGTCTCCCAAGTACTTGTTTTAAAGGTATACACAACTACCTACTTGGAAAAATGCCCATTCTGGCCTTTGTCCATATTTCAATGGGTTATTTTTACTATTAGGGTGTAAAGGTTCTTTTGTTTGTTTTTTGTCATATTCTGAATACAAGTTGCTTACTAAATTGCTTTCTTGATGGTATTATATGAACACAGATTTTTCAATTTTAGTGACATCTATTCAGTTTCTTCTGTTGCTTTGGTCTAGTGTCATGGCTAAGAATCCATTGCCAAATTGGGTGGTGATTTCTCTCAGCTTTCCTTTAAGTTTTGTCATTTCCTTTCATGTAAAGTCTGTGATGCACTTACATTTACATTGTCTGAACTCAGGGTTAAATTCCATCCCTTTTGTATATCCCTTTGTTAAAAATGTCTCATTTTTCTGGAGTCTTACTGATGTGATCATGTTCTTAGACAGTAGAACAATGTCATAATTCTTCTGTGGGTTTTTTGTTTGTTTTTTTTTTTTTTTTTTTTTTTTTTTACCCTAACTTAGGGAAACTAGCAATTAAGGGATTGGTTCCTAGTCAGAAGCCATTCAAGCTTGTAAGGTATCCCTGTGTATCTCTGGAGATGCTCAGTATGAAATTCCAAGTGGTATCTAAACACAGTGCTTTTCATTGATACTCAGTTGTACATACAAGATAGCCCTTCATGACCTACATCCTAGAGTAACAATTATTGCTGGTCATAGTTTCATGTCTCATCTCAGAAAGAAGCCAGTCTTCTATAGTTTAAAATATATGCTTCAACAGATGCAGTGAACTACAGCTAAGCACTGGGCTGAGCTACTAGAGTTGAAGAGAGGGAGGAGGGATCATATGAGCAAGGAGGGGGTCAAAATTGTGATGGGGAAAACCACAGAGACAGTTGACTTAAGCTAGTGGGAGCTCATGGACTCTGGACTGACAGCTGGGGAGCCTGCATGGAACCCAACTAGGTCTATGAATGTGAGTGACAGTTACGTGGTTTGATCTGCTGGGGTGCCCCTGACAGTGGAACCAGGTGCATTGCTTGTTTTTTGGAGCCCATTTCCTATGGTGGGATACCTTGCTCAACCTTGATACAGGGGAGAGGGGTTTGGTCCTGCCTCATCTTGGTATGCCAGACTTTGTTGACTCCCCAATAGAGAGACCTTACCCCCTCTGAGGAGTGGATGGAAGTCAGAAAGGAGAAGTGTGGGGGCAGGAGAATGGGATGGAGGGGAACTAGGATCAGTATGTAAAATGAAAAACAAAAAATAAAAAATGCTTCAAAATTTTAACACGATTATTTATAGAACATAGTACTGGAGTATATAGTCGTAAACATTTTAGTCATCTGTTTTTTATCCAAATGTCAATTATCATGTAAAAAGAGAATTTTTTTTTAAAAAAAAAAGTAAATAGTGATTAGGGCAATATTTTGCATAATTAATTTTTTGCCATAAAAAGTCTTGACATATTATTTATTTCAGTTATGGTTTGTCCTGCACAAAAACTGACATCTTGTTCTTTCATAAAATACTAAGACTATATAATGGGAATATAAAATTCTATGGTTCTATAATAAACTCTTAAATACATAAAAACAATTTAAATGACTTTTAAATTGCAATCTTTGTGTTTTTCAGAACATATTTTCTGAGTTTATCACGATTGAAATGTTATTTCATGGCAAAGCTTTAGAGGTCTTCACTACTGCATACCAAAACATACAAAAGATCGATGAGGATGAAGATCTAGAGGTAGGCCTGCGTCTAGACTCGGTTCTTCCTTTAGTGTGGGAATGCTTGAGAGCTTCAGTGTGTATGGGTAATACTCTCAAATGTGTAACCCTAATAACTGACCTTCTGTGTTTTTTCATTAATACTTTAGCAAATGACTGTCACTCTTCAAGTACTCAAACTCACATTTAATCTTCACCCTTTCCATGTTTTCTTCTTTAAAAGATTATCAGACTTTTGCACAACTATAAAATAGTAGCAAATATTTATGTAACCATTGCTTTGAATAGATCTGTATATTTAACTATGCTAATTGATCCACCAACTTTAATGAAGAATACCTGCTTTCCTCACTCTAAGAATAAGGAAAGACTGAAATAGAGTCAGGAAGTTTCCCAGAGGATGATAGCTAGTTTAGTAGCACAGGTGGGAGCCAACTCTAAAAGTCTACCACAACGCTGGTCTTATGCTTTGTACTCAAGGCTACAGCTAGCGTTGAAGGTAGGCGACTTGCACGCACCGTTTCCTGCAAGAAAAACACTGCATGGCAGGTTCAAGTGATCTCTGTACTTTTCCTGCAAAACTTGAGTCCCCTTTACAAGTACCGGTCTCCTTTTTCTAACATTTCTGACTTGCGAACTGACCCTCAAGTTCAGTTCTTTGGTCCTTAAAATGTGTTTCCTCATTCCAGAGGCCCTAGATGTCACAGGACACCCTTTATAACTTATCACTGCTCTCAGTCAGCTAGCTAAGTAGGTTGTGTAGAAGAAATAGATGAAAAACTAAAGGTTCAAGGTTGTATAGTAGATGTACTTTTGAACAACTTTCTTCACATTCCAGTGGAATAGTACTGAATAAATTAACTTCTTTACATATCTTCATGACAAAATAAAAATCATGCCTCTTGCTCCTAAGATGTCCAAGCAGCAACTGGTTTGTTCAGCACCTGTATGCCAAGCACCATTCTAAGTACCAGGACCATGAATAAGAAATAGTCTACATTGTCAAAGCTAATTATAATCTACCAGTGATATGAAGGAGGCACAAATTCTATATAGCCATTAAAATTCTATAATACATCCAATCCTGTACCATGCGGTGTATGTGTGTGTGGGGGGGGGGGGAGAGGGAGGAAAGGAAAGTTCCACAGTCTTAAAGCCAGAGGAGCTCGAGATGGAGATGCCTAGCAAAAACCTTATGATGGCATAGAATACAAAGGTCCTTGGGCTATTGTGAATGAAGAACAATGTACTTTAAATATTTAGCATGGAATGAATGGAAACATAGCCCTCAACCTCTGTTATACCATTTAGCATCTGTGACTCTGGACCAGGAGAAGTATATGCACATAAAACCTGATGGTTTCTTGGAAACAAGAAAAATGCAGAGGGACATAACTTTTTCTTCATAGTCACACTTCTTGATTTATTCCAGCAGCAGTGAACGTTTTGTACTTACTACAAACTATTGCACATAAATAGTATTCTGTGGTTCATTTCTCCTTCAAAATTAATTTGTGTGCTTTCATTTGAGAGGATATCCAGACCTTGCAATTTCTCTCAATCTTGGACATTGCCAATATATATTTCTGTAAATCTGTTTTTATAGCAAAAGGGTTCATCTTAATACTTGTCTAAACTTTAATCTCAAGGGTCCTGTGTCATGTTATTTTTCTTATTTTTTTAAATTTCATTTTACATTCCAACCACAGTTCTCCCTCCCACCCCGCCCACACTCCCAACCACTCCTCCCAAAGGTTAAGGGCTCCCATGAGGAGTCAACAAAATCTGGCACATTAAGTTGGGGCAGGACCAAGACTTTCCCCCTGCATTAAGTCTGAGCATGGTATCCTACCATAGGGAGTGGGCTCCCAACAAGCTAGCTCATGAACCGGGATAGATCCTAATTCTGCTGCTAGGGGCCCCTCAGATCAGCTTTTCACAACTGTCTTCCATAGTTGAGTCCCACAGAGGCCCCATAGCTGTCAGTCCAGAGTTCATGCATTTCCACGAGTTTGGTTCAGCTGTGTCTGTAGATTTCCCCTCCATGATCTTGACCTCCCTTGCTCATGTATTCCCTCCTCCCTCTCCTCGACTGGATTCCTGAAGCTCTGCCTGGTGCTTGGCTGTGGATCTTTGCATCTGGTTCCATCAATTCGTGTTATTTTTCTTTGCTAGAGAAGTTTATAGTGTTCAAACAAAAATATATCATCCCTCTCAATACTAGGTGACCTTGAACCACCCATCTGTTATACCTAGATGTCATCAATGTAAAATCTGCTAACTTAATTATTCTTCAACTATCCTAAAATAATAGTTCTTACATGCTAAATTGTCTCCCTTGATTCCATTTGTATTCTGCAGTATTGGAAGAGCAGCAGTTCTCACTCAACCTGTGGGTCATGACCCCTTTGGGGATGTGTGACTCTTTCACAGGGGTCACCTAATACCATGGGAAAACACAGAGATTTACATTTGTAACAGCAAAATTGCAGTTATGAAGTTGCAACAAATATAATTTTTTGAGACAGGGTTTCTTTTTATAACAGTCCCAGATATCCTGGAACTTGTTTTGTAGACCAGGCTAGTCTCGAACTCACCTGCCTCTGCCTCTGCCTCTGCCTCCCAAGTGCTGGGAGTAAAGGCATGCACCACCACCTCCTGGCTACAACAAAATCATTTTATGGTTGGGGTCACCACAATGAAGAATGGTTAAGGGTTGCAGTATTAGGAAGGTCGAGAACCCCCAGCTTACAGGAATGTAAGGGACAGTCTTTAGTTTGGTTCTTTACGTCCACAAAATGGGGATTATGTCGGTGTTAGCATTCATTAGGCAAAAGTGAATTTAATTAACACCATTTATTTGGAAGAATGGCAGAGATAAAACAGGGTTTCTTTCAGTAGAAACTTAAGGTTGTTTGTAGAGTGATTTGATCAAACTTAGTAACATAACAATTATGCTTGAGAATAATAGGAGCTGCTGGCTACCGAATAAGAAAAAGATAACATTTGACTTGGCTCCAAGGATTGTAAATTAGCAGAGATGCCCTGCTGATGAACCAGCAATAAAGAGGCACAGTATAATGTACATTCGTCACATAAGTTAGTTCTGCTAGTTTGAGTGACATGAGGCCTCTGATGATCACTCTAAAGTCAACAGTTGACTCTGGTAGGTAAGAGCCACAGAAAAGGATTTTTGGTTAAGAATATTTAGTCTGCAGTAATAGGTTAAATAGGCTGTGAAGAAAGGTACATAGTCAGTATGTAGAAGTACTTCAGGTAAGAAATTAAATATAATGCCCATGCTGCTAGGTATAAAGCCTTTCATTATAAAACAGTCTACACCCAATACAGTAGGACTAGGTTTATGTAGCTATCTTAATATTAAAAATCAAAATCCCTTACAAACCATGCCAAGTGGTTAGCAGCCACACAAAGCCAGAGGCCTTTTTTGGACATGGAACATTTCCTTCATCTCAGAATATGTTATTGGATACTATTAGTTTATAATAAAAAGTTTATGCACTATATAGCAAATTCACTAGTTGATAAGACATTAAATTAAGTGACTGCACTGAAGATGTAGCAGTAGGAGAGATGCACATTTTCTGGGTGAGCTGGTAAGACATTAAATTAAGTGACTGCACTAAAGATGTAGCAGTAGGAGAGATGCACATTTTCTGGGTGAGCTGGCTGTAAACAGATGAAGCAGTACAAGAGGAAAGCTAGCAGTGACTGGCATGGATGAGGAAGAGCTGGGGTCAGGGAAGATAGACTTAAGGGTTCCGATGAGCAGTGCTGTGGGATGCTTTCCAATTCTAATGGGGAGGTGAAATACAGTAAGTGATCAGTTTTTTAAAAGTTATACTTTGAAGAAAAAAAGAACTGAAGTAGATGCATGTTTCTAGAGCACTGGTTCTCAACCTGTGGGTGGCAACCCCTTTGAGGGTCAAACGACCTGTCACAGGGTCACCCTTAAGACCATTGCAAAACACAGATACCAGTGATTCATGACAGTAGCAAAAGTATAGTTATGAAGTAGCAACAAAAATAATTTCAATAATTTCATGTTTGGAGGGATCACCACACTATATTAAAGGGCTGCTGCAGTAGGAAGGTTGAAAACCACCTTTTAGAGGGAACCCGTGGAAACCAAAAATCTTTGTAAATTTGTAGTTTTGACAGTAAAAGAAAAATGCACATTGAGAAACAATTAGGATGACATTTTAATTTTTTTTAATAAAGAGTTTGGACAGAGGTTTTTGAAAGTCACACTGATCTTGACTCTTCATCTAGAAATATGGGGTAAGCATAAGAGAGGGAGGCTTGAAAAACACTTGACAATATTTGAGAGCACTGAGAAGTTCAGATTCTATTGATGCTGGTGTTCATGTTAGTGTTAGGGCGGCTGCAGTGCAAACTGCACGGTGACACTCGCGCTGTGGGAAAGAGCCAGCATAATTGTGTACCACACTAGCTTTCAGTTGCTGCAACCAAATGATCTTATGATTACTGAACATCTTTTATCAACTTGCATGATCCTAGTAGAATTTTTTTTTTTACCCTTTTCTAACTTGACTAGATCTATAATTTTTTCCTCCAGAGCTTACAATAACTCAAATTTAAGAATGTAAGCTGGTTATCTAGATGTTCATTTTGCATCTACTTTATAATGTTGTTTTACATTGCAATAGGTTTTCCGAAATTCTCTGTATCTACCAGATTATCCATCTCGTTTAGATATTGTAAGAGCAAATTCAAAGTCACCTCTTCAGAGATCAGTGTCAGCTAAGTGCACATCTGGAACTGGACAGGTGAGCTAAAAAATACTAATAGAATGTGAGTTGATGCCTTTGGAACATGTTGCGTACTAAGTAGAAAGGCTTCTCCTGTGATGTGACCCCATGCAATTCATTGTCTCTGGCCATAGTTCTTCCTCTAAACACGATGAGAAGAGCCTATGGGCACATGCTACTTACTCTGAGGCAGAGCAGTGAAGGAACAGATGGGAGACACACAACAGTGCTAAGACACATTTTCTGTGTCTAGTATCAACACAAATTCTAAATATACCCAAAAGTGGCTTTGTCTAAGCATAACTCATGGACAACAGCTATGACTGTAACTGTAATGTACCTCAGAATTTTATAATGGAATAAAGCAATCTCAAAAGACAATTTTAAGTAAAATTACTAAAAGACAGACGTCCTGACATTGGATTCTGTGCATTATTTCTGCTTTGCATTATCTCTTCCTCCAGCCAAATTATATCTCTATTATTTTTTTCCTTGACACATGTATTCCATCTAAAATCCTATTTAGAACTTAATACTTAGACTTAACCTTACTAACTTGAGGTCAGGTACCTGGGGGTTGGGTAGGATACTGTCTGTATGGAACATCTGTCAGTAGCATACATATCCATAGTGTGACCCCCTCTGGTGTGCAGACATTGCAGTGTTCCTGGATGGCACCAATCACCCTCAGAGGGGTTTCGGTAAGATAGCTAAGGGCGAGTCAGAGGTACACCGCTGAGCTGGTTCTCAGCTCACTCCACAGTGATGGTATTTTATGTCTCTGAAGCATCTGCTGGAGTCAAATATGCTTAACCTCATATATACTGATAAATAAAGACTGCAGCCTTAAAATTCACAGGGAACTTAGCCATTTTCTAAAATAGTTGTTCTATATTACCTTTCCTATAAGGACACGTAAAAAGATGCCAAATGTGTAAAAACTTTTTAAAATCTTTTTCATGTGTTGTTAACAGATAGCCAACTCTCGAACAAGAAAAGACCAAGTAGAAGATGAAGATGATGAAGAGTTAGATGTGACAGAAGATGAAAATTAATTTTAAGAAAACTTCACATTTCCATTTTCATGTTAAGTGAAATCCAGGATCACTTTATACTCACTTGACAGGTTAAACTTCAAAATGAAATACTACTATGAAATTGGGGGGGGGGGGGCGGGGGCTAAAGGCAATTAGGCTCACCAAAAGAAAAAAAGTTTTTTTAATGTTCCATACCAGACCTTTGTTATTGTGTTTGTTTTTTTCAAGACAGGGTTTCTCTGTGTAGCCCTGGCTGTCCTGGCACTCACTCTGTAGATCAGGCTGTCCTGAAACTCACAGATATCCTCCTGCCTCTGCCTCCCAAGTGCTGGGATTAAAGGCATGTGCCACCACACCCGGCTCATACCACTCTTTCAACATCCTATTTTGGTAGTGTATTTTTTTTCTGTATATGTTCTATTAAACAACAACAACAAAAGTTATGTATATCAAAGCATTTCAGATTTAATTCAGTATATATATATATATATATATATATATACATATTAAAGATGCAAAAGGAATCAGATAACAAAAGATTGAATAATTCCTTTCAGTTTCTTTAGGTTAAAACTTTAGATTTTGAGTACCAGAAGAGCTCATTTAATAATAATATGCCATAATGCCTTAAGTAAAAAGATTGCTTCTCTTGCTTTTATTATAACCTTATGTTTCATCATTTGGTGCGTAAATTTAGTTTCTTCAGCAAAAATGTAGCTAAGTAAAAGGTATGGAATGCCGACATCAGGTTTTATAAGTGTACAGCTTAAAGGCTGCATCCAACCTTACTGGTTTACAACAAACTAACTCTAAAGCACTATTCACTCTACTTGTGTAAATCACTGACACTTGGAGGGCAAGTGATTTGTTAGAAATGTTCCTCCCTCATCATAGAATGCCATGATCCACTAAACACACTATCAGGCCACCACAGTCAATAAACATGTACATAATTTATTCCTAAATCTACAGACTTTCATTATGTCTGACATTTCTTTTTCTTTTGTTTAAAAAAAAAAAAAGAAAAACACTTTTATGAACCTCAAAGCAATTATTCAAAACAAAAAAATTTAAAGTATTTCTCCCTGAGAATACTTTTAAGATTACTTTGGTACTTTTTCTCACAATACTTTAAAGCCCTGGGTTAGTTAAGGAAGGGAGATTATTACTTGATTTTAATATTTTTGCTCAGTATTCAAATTTGATATTGAGCTGAGAGGAGAAACAGCTGTGGTATTTCAGTTGCTGTCAGTGAATCGTAACTTCTCTCAAGCAGCAACTGCCTCAAGTCATGCCTAATACAGCAAACAGTTGTGGTTCTACAGCTGCTGTTCCTACTTCAGAGAATGTTCTAAGAACAAGAGCTCAGTGTGGGAACAAGCCTGCTGTTCCACTTTAGATGGCAGAGACTGGGGATTGGTTGTCCAAGGTCATCCTTGGCTTCATCCGAGTTCAGGACCAGCATGGACTACAGGAGACTACAAAACATGGTTAAGATTACTTGTATATGCCTAGTGGTGGTGCACACCTTTAATCCTAGCTCTAGGGAGGCAGAGGCAGGTGGATCTCTGTGAGTTTCAGGCCAGCCTGGTCAGTAGAGTGAGTTCTAGGACAGCCAGGGCTGTTACACAAAGAAACCTTGTTTCAAACAAACGACAAAAAAAATGTTATATACATGTATATATATAAAAACAAAAGGAATTATTAGACATTTTACTATTTGTGGGCAACGAGGCAAACACAAAGCTATTATATAACTAACACAACCAGTTAGGATATCACTACATTTAAGAAAGTGAAAACTGGGCTAGGGTTTAGCACTAGCCTATCATGCTTAATGAGGTCCTGGGTTCAATTCCCAGCACAACTAAAAACAACAAAACCTCAACATGGTAAATAGCCCATCATTTGGCATCTCTAATAAAAATTAAGCATTGATAATCTTAATAGGTAATAAGGATCAAAAGCCACTGCTTTGTAATAATATTCTCATCTCCAGGATGGTTTGACATATCTTACAGGATTAAGTTTCCTTTCTAGGGATGTTTTCCTATTTTTATATACATTCTCAACAACAACAAAAAGTATAACTTGAATGTAAAACAACACATGTTAAGAGAACACCAACACATTCCCAGTGTACCTACTGTTGATAGATAGAAATCTGGCCATGGAATTACTGAAGCTGAACGATCAAAGCATGAAGCAATAGACCTTCATGTGTCTGAAACTATCGTGTACAGTTCCCTAGGCTTTGCAAACAAGGAAAAATACTCTGACTTGGTGTAAGTATTAGCTACTACCATGGCCAACTGAAGTTAAATCAACATGTTACTCAAGACAGTATTAGAAAGAGATGTGCAAAAACAGCTCCCTTACTACTGTTTAGGAAGCAAGTTTTCTAAAGCAAATGTTTATAATAAAGCTCACAAAATATTAAACCTGGGGCTGAGCAATATGGCTCAGTCAGTGAGGTGTTTGCTGCACAACTAAAACCAGAAAGTGCTGAGGAAGCACATACAGGAAGATTGGAGGGGGGGGGGGGAGAGTAGTGCTGGCCAGTCAGTCTAGCAAGTTCAGTGAGAGGCCTTGCCTCACCAAAAAAAAACGTTGAAGTGTTTAAACAAGACACCATCAAACTCTAGCCTCATACAGACACACCAGTAAATATATACTAAGCCTTATATACTAAGCCTGGTGACTGAGATAAAATGGCCACAGTACTTAACTTGAAAATCAAGGCATGGGAGAAGTGATGGCCCAGCAGTTAAGAGCACTCCCCTCAGCTCCACGGACACATGGCCCACACACATACATGCAGAGCACTCACACACAGAATACAAACTAAAGCAAGTCAAGACATAGAGCTGTGTTTCCCAGCTGGCCTCTTCCCACCTCTACCATTCCACCCCAGCCCAACTTGTGTAGCAATTACACACTCAATAGTCTTTCATTTTAAGCTATATCTTAGGTGTATCACTATGTATTGATCTGGGAAGTATTTACAGTCTGACACATCTGATCAAATGAACCATCTATGTGGTCATTGTCCTTGGCTTAGGTAGTCAAATTTTTCATTCTATCTGTAAAAGCTTTTTGGTTTTAAGACTCAAAATGTGTGGGTTTTTTTTTTTTTTAACAAAATTTATCAATTTGTTCTATTTAATTATTAACTATTTAAAACAAAAACTTATGCAGACTTCTCTTTGATTTCTTTAAATCACTGAATGTTAATTCAAGATACTGAAAGTATTCTACACTACATTACGGAATTTTATTCACAACTACTTAGTGTGGGAAATGTCTGGATGAAGAAAGTAGGTAAAACTTATTAGTTTCATATAAACTATAAAAATCATCAATCAAATTAGATAAAATGAAGAACTTTGAATTGGAAACACACACACACACACACACACACATATATATTCCCAAGAGAAACTATAAATTCTTAAGTCATTTTTCTCTTTAATTTAGCTAACAATGTTTAAGTATCATACTTTAAATGCAACTTTAAAAACAAAGAAAATGTAATTTGCTCATTAAATATTTCATCATAACTTTACTAAAGTTAAAAATACCACGTAATAAAGTGACACAGCAAAAATATTTATGGACATGGTATAATTAGAAGTCTGCTTATAGGGGTTGAAATTGGTTCCTTAGTGTTACTTGAAGCAGCTTGCTTGCCCTCTCTAAACTTCATTTCTCATTTGTGAAATAGGGATAATAGAGATCATACGTTAAAGGACTTATTGCCTAATAAATTATGTGTCCCTTGTCAGCTACTTCTATTATTATGGGTAAGGAAAATCTAATTGATAGAAGCAAAATATAAACACTGAGTATCAAAGTCAAAATTCATGCTCAGAAATCTTGTATTTAGTGAGTTTGCAAATAAATACAATGCTTTGAAGCTAAAAAAGGAAACCAAATAAGCCACCAGTAACTTGTTCCTAGAAAAACAATATTCATTTGTCATATTCCCAGCCAGAGAGTCCCCCTTTAGCCCTAAACAAATTATTTTACTGTCTTCTGAACATTTTGTGTTAATCTTAGCAATCTAGTTAGGATAAGCCCTAGGCCCCCCAGTTCTCAGGATAAAGTGATGTTGAAGAAATCATAGACCTGTGCATTATTATTATTATTATTACACATTATGTGGTCCTGCTCACCATATAGTTTTAATAGAACTGTTGAGAAATTTTATAATACCCAGCTGCAATGCTGTCTTTGTTCTTGTTGTACAAACACAAGCTAATAAGTATTTCAGTTGCATCTTTATTTTATAAAACTTTTCAGAGTTGTGAATACAAATGTTGGGAATTTCCTAAGCCTTTCACATAAGTAAATTTCAAGTTCACAGTGTGTTCATTTTCTGAACTATTTAGAGTTAATAGGAGACCTTAACAATATCTCAAACAAAAGGGAATTCTGCAGGCAGGTAGCAATTAAAGTGCCAAACCTGATAAGTCTGTCAGTCATCCACCATTTCCTTACACAGTCTGAGTAAAAGATGGTGAAAACAAAATTAAAGATAGATTTACCTTCCCCAAACATAACTTCCACATTTCACAAGACTGGGCTTTATCCATAACATCAATGAAACTAAGAAATTCAGGAAATTTGTTTCCTCTCCCCTATCAAAGAAAAAAAGAGCATATGAAATTTTAAATTAGAGAGAAAAAGAATATCCATTTGTAAGCAAAGGAAATCCAGATTTACACAACACACTCTGTCTATTCACAGGTTAAAATCAAAATGTTTAATTAGATAATTAAAAATAAACTTTTAAGAAAGCTATATTTTTGCTGCATCAACTATGGACTTAGAAAGGCTCTCTAAAGCAAAATGAGTTTAACTTTGCGGGGACCAACTGGTCTACCATTTAGTTCTTTAATAGCAGCTATAGCTTCATTATAATTTACCATAGCAATAATGGCTTCTCCTATTGGTAACCCTTGCTCATTGTACTGTATTGAAACTGAGTCAGGTATGACTTTATAACCATGGAAAAAGTCTAAAATTTCATTAGCATTAGCTTTAAATGGAAGATTCATGATCTTAACAGGAGTTATTCTACCTGAACCACAATGTAATTTTACATCAGGCATAAATCTTCCCTCAGGAACACATCCCATATTATGCTTTCCAAAATCAAACTTGCCACCTTCCAAGTAACCAAAGTTCATAAAAGGACGATGACCTCTGAAATCAGGTGAGGTCCAAAAATCCTCCCCAGGAGATCTAAAACTATCAGGAAATCCAAGGTTCTCCTCTGGTATTGCCCTGAGGTCTTCCCTAGAGAGCTGCCTAAAATCCTCATCAGTAGGATATCTCAAATCTTCTTCGGTCCTGAAGTCCTCATCAAAATGGTGCCTATAGTCTTCATCTGCCATATGTCTGAAATACTCCTCTCGGGAAAGCCGGAAATGTTCTTGGGGTGGCCTCCTGAAGTGCTCCTGAGGTGGCTGTCTGAAGTCCTCCTCCCAAGGGTATCTGAAATCATCCTCTGGTAGCTGCCTAAAATCTTTCTCACGAGAGTACCTGAAGTCATCTTCTGGTGACCATCGCCATTCCTCCAGAGGCCGTCTCCAGTCTTCCTCTCTTGAGCACCTGATGTGTTCCTCCCGGGGTTGTCTATAGTCTTCTAGGGAGTGATGGAAGTCTTCCGGAGGGTGCCTGCCAGACTCTTGGAAATACCTGTGGGGATACCTTAAGTCTTCTGCCTGGTAACCAATGCTTTCAGACCGGCCCAGTGAACATACTGGCGAGTCTTTTAAGTCAAACAGACGGGAACGGTCATCTCTATTGTGTGACTGGGAACGGGCTTGTGTTTTCTCATTGCACATAAAGGAAAAATTGACACCAAACTCCTGCATTTGTACCTCGGATATAAGTCTTAACAACACCTCTGTCCCTAGGAATCTTGTGCGGTTTAAGCGTTCAGCTTTCATGGCCTGTTCTTCCGATTTAAATCTCACCAGTACTTCTCCCAAACCAACTCCCTTGTCATCATAAAGCAAGGAAATGTCATCCTCAACAAGGGAAAAGTCTGCAAAGAACTGCTGCACTTCAACTTTTGTGACATCAAATGGAAAGTTTCTTATATATATGTACAGTTTCTGACCAGAGTAACCTTCTTCAAATAACTTTTGTGAAACATGTCCAGGCCTTCCTTTCTCTACTGACCCTGGTCTCTTCTTTTCATAGCATTCAATGAATTTCACCATTTGCTTTCTAGAGATTGGATCAATAAAAACTGGACGATATTGTAAAACAGTCTTATGCAAACCAAGAGCAGTATTATAGTCTTTTAGATTCTTGAACATCACAAAGGCATACCGTGTTCTCCGTTCATCTTTATATAAAAACTTAATCTGTTCATTAGTCAGATCAGTATCTTTAAAGAAATTTCTTAAATCTCTTTTGTCAATACTTAAGGACAGATTTTTTAAGTGAAGATAAAATCCAAGAGGAGAGCGAGAACGTGTTCTTCTAGGAGATCTTGAATGAGTCCGTTTTCGAAAATGTCTATCATTCATCCCTCTTGATGGAGAATGTTCTTCAGCTCTCAAACAAGAAACATCACCACCCTTAGCTGCATTACCACCAAATTCAATCCACTGTTGTTCTGAGCCCTGCATTACTTCTATAAATCTTGAACCCATGAAACTTCTATGGCATTTAAGACCTCCTGAAGCATCAATACATGACGCAAATTTTACTACAGCATCACCATTATTTCGGCCATCATGATGTTTTAAGAAAATCACTCCATCCACACACAAACCAGAGAAAAAGACACGTACATCATCTTCATTTACTAAGTAAGGCAAACCTCGTAGAAACAAGTAAGGGTTCTCAGCCTTTGATGGCCTGGTCTTTCTTGGCCTTACATCAAGTCCTGTACCATTAGCATGAAACCCAGCATCTTGATTAATTGAAGAACCATATCCAGAATAACTCTCCTCTTCCTTCATAGCATCAATAAAATGATACAGGTTGCTAAGCCCTGATGCCCCTGATCCTGGTCGCCCTCTTCCTCCACGAGCAGTTCTTTTCATTTCTATGGTCTTCTGCATTTCTGCCTTGCTACTAAGAAAAAGCTCTACAGATGAATCCTTGATAAACCCTCCTGAACGACTTATGGCACGTCTCGCATCTTCATCGGTTGCAAAAATAATAAAAGCCTCCCCAACTTTCCCTCCAATTATATGCACTCCTCCATCAGGAATAGTCAAGCCCTTGAAGAAGTGACGGATATCCACAGGCCCCGCAATAAAAGGAAGCCCCAGTAAACGGATGACTACAGCCATGCTGAGCTCAAACCACAGCAATAATGACCTGCAGACAAAAAGGTACACATAATAGCAAATCTTATTTTTGCAGTACCTTAGCACAAACTAGCTTAATAATTACCTGGCTCCTGCTTCCTTCAGCATTAATAAATGGAAGCAAGATACTAGTTCACACACACAAAAGAAAAAAAAACTGATTTTATCTAATTCTTGAAACAAATATGCTATAAACATACAAATAAAGCAACTGCCCTAAAGTAATCCTTTTCAATTGGAACATTAAAAATATCAACTCTTCCTTTGTAAGTCTGCCAAATGCTGTTTCACAACAGACCAAACTACTTTCAGGTTGTTTAGAAATGTGTCTCCTACTGGCCTGTCTGTTACTGACCACAATAAAGTTTACATATTCAGAAAAGCCCGTGTACAATTTCTGCTCCGGATACTCAGCTGCCACATACAAACAGAAGCAATGAGTACAAAGATGCACTAATCCCTGTCACATTTTGGTGCAAAGCCTTAAACTCTGGTGTCTTACCTTTTCCTTTTATTTCTTGAAGACCTGTTAATTCTGTAAAAGCAACTTAACTGTGGAAAGAAAACGAAATATAATTAATCTCTAAACTCTGTAATTGATCTCAATGCCTGACATCCATTTCAGAATTACCTCTCAGAGTGAAAAATGTAAAGCACTATGGGAACTTTATTATATTTCTTTAACAAACGAAGAAGTATAATGCCAGGCAGACAACTGGGAAGTATTAGAAAATAAAAACATATGCAGAAAATTATACTACTCCATTGGAATTAATGTATAAATATACCAAAGCTCACTGAATTCTATCATTAAGTCCACGTTTATCACAGGCTGATAAGTTGAGCATGTACTTTTAAAAAATCTGTTTTATAAGTTAAACATCAATTTAAAAATCAAATATTTAAAGACTTTCCATCACTTCACCTAAAGATGACCCAAACATGTAATTCAGACTTATATCCAACTCCCTTGCCAGTCTCCACCCTTTCAAAACATAATACTAAGTCAAACAAAGCAACAATTCAAAATGACATAATAAATAAATGCCAACACTATAAAACTATCAATTGTTATGCAATAAATCCAAGTCAACGGCTACCATTTGAATACAAATTCCTCATATACAAATACAGAAACAAATGCTGAAATAAAATCAATGGCACTACTTATCCAATATCCTTACAACAGTAGAATATTAAAATTCATCTCAAACACACATACACACAAACCAAAAAAACAAAAAACTGTATCAACTTTAGAATTTTATTATGTGAACAGCCACTTCAAAATACTACCCTACATACTTACATTATAGAAACAATAATAATATAGAGAAGTAAACAATATAAAGACTAATTAGAAATATTGGGATTGCCAATATTCAGTACTAAAAACAAAACTCAACTTAGTACTGAAGGAACTTGTATATAGAGCTTTCACAAACAATATTTACCAAATAACTTTTAAAATGTGCCAAATTAATCATTTTACTTAATATTAATGTGCAAATAAAATTTTGTTCCCTTAAACCTAAGTAGCACTGTGCATATTCCTTTAAGTTTGAATGGTTAATCAATAAAACCAATGTCACACACCACATTTTAAATTGAGATTTACTATTAGAATCTTTGTAGTACAAAAAAAAAGAAAAAAATGTAAGCCTAACTTCAACAATATCCACACCCAACACTTCAACAAAATCTATAAATGGCTCCTTGAAACACCTGTTAACATTCAAATTCCAAGACTCCCATATAAACTGACTTGGCTGATTTGAGCAAATGATAAGAACTACTTTGTCTGACCATAAACTTGTTAAATTCAAAGGGGTTGGACCTTGAGGAAATAAATTTAGCTACAAGTCCATGAATTTGGAGAATTTCATGGAAATAAGTAGACATCAAATTCAAAATGCCTCTAACAACACATCCTAGCTTCAAAGCCACCTTATCTAAGTGTCTTAAATAAGCCATCTTCATTAAGCAGTTTCACAAGCACAAAGCTATTGAATTCTAATGCAAGAGGCCTAAAGTTTGTTCTAATTTGCCAAATAAAAATTAATGCTTAAATTTCTTTGCCCTTGCCATAGTAGAACAATGTCATCATTTATCCATAGGCAGTAATATCTAGAACATAGCTAAGAGACTCCAAGTATGTCTTACAATAATCTATTTCCTTAAAATCTCCACAAGAGTATGCTGATACATTAGATTGCACCAAAATCAAAACACAAATTATCCTGTTCTAGTTTTGAATGCCACTGGGCACAAATCGAAACACTCACTAACCCTGGTTTAGTTATGAATGCCAAAGTGAATAGTGAGGGTGTTAATGTCAGGCCACAATGAACTTCTAGGACAAGGAAGCCAATTCCTAAAAATCCATTTAATGATAACACATTTTAAACAACTTTGCTAATTTTACCATGCCATCCTTCCATTTAAATCACCATCTTAATTAATCTTAAGTGTGTGCATCTTTTAATCAAGATTCAGAGAAAAAAGGCAGACTGAACTTAAGAGCTCCAATTTCAGATCCACTCGATTTTAACTATCAAATAAAGGCATTTTCCAGACATGGTAAAGGAGACAGTTTACTAATGTCCCCAACCATGTGTTGCTGCCCAGTTATGAAAAACATTCAAACTCTAAACTTGAATTTTCCTGCAGGAAATTTACCCCAGTCTACAAGTCTGATAAAAATCTGCCTTTTATAATGCAGATGTCAAAATAATAAAAAATAAATAAATAGCATGACCACATAGAGCCCGGGTCAGGAACTGTTAAGTGAAGTCGAATCCACAAGGCACAAACTTCTCACGTCATCCATCATCATCAATGGGGAATACTCCGAAGGCATCGATTTCACAGCCTTTGTCCACGCTCCCGAGCATCAGTTTCCTTCTTTTACCGCCACTTGCTATGTCGGATCCAACACTGTCGCCAGAGTGTGAGCCCAAATTGGCTTTCAAATTAACTAGGACCGCCCAACCAACGTGCCCTAGCGTTCGGCGGTCCCAGGAGCGAAAGCTCCACCCCAGCTCGCCCTAGCGGCCGGCTCCCCGCCTCGCTGATGCGCTCGGCGCCCCCGCAGCCCGAGGACACCGGCCTGCGGAGCTCTCCCGCGCCGCCACGAGCGTGGACATGGCAAAGAAAAGAGATACCTAGGCGATGCTCCGAGATCTTCGCGGTCAAGATCCCAGCAAGCGCACACACCGTCTCGGGGAGGCTGACGGGAGGGAGTGATGGAGTGGGGTCAGCGGGCTCTAACCGAACCCGCCGCGCTCGCTCCCGGCCCCGCCTGCCTGGCCTTCGCCTCGCGCCCTCCCGCCCGCCCGCCCGCCCCGAGGACAAGTGCTTGGCACCGCGCACTGAGCGCGCACACACCACACAGACAGGGGCTGTCGCAGCCGCCGCCACCGAGCCGGCCGAGCCCCCAGGCGGCCCCAAGAAGATGGCGCCCACACTGCCCTCCCGTCGGTCGGGACAAACCGACGTACAGCTTGTCTGCCCATGCGCTCTCCAGGCACACCCCGCAGCCCGGGTGCCGGGCCAGCGCATGCGCACACGTCCCGTGCCGTTTGCAGCGCTAAGCGGTGCCCGGCGAGTGTGAACTTGTGCTCATCCCCTGTTCCTAACCAATCCCAATCCGGGAGCCCGGGCCTGCCCCCCACCCCCCGAAATTCCCATCTGCAGGAGACAACTGCAAAAATACACAAACCTAACAGGTTTCTTTTTCTTTTCGGGTTCAGGGAAAAGATGGAAGGAGGAAGCTGGGGAGCTCTTTGTCCTTCTTTTGCTGCAGTTTCTGTTAGACGGGAGGGGGCAAGGGGAGCAATTCCACGACTGCCTGATCGAAGCAAGCTGGATTTAGAAGTCTCCAGCTGGCTGTCTCCCCTAGGGCTTTCAGAGAGCAGCCCCTCACTGGCTTTTGAGATCCCTTTTATGAGGAAGGGTTAGGGTTGATAGAAAACAGCTGTCGGGGTAATTGACTGTTAGCACCTGGACAGAAGAGTAGGAACTGGGGCTCGAGGCTGCCGGTGGAGAGATAAATGCAAGAATATGTCATGTGGAAGGTGTTGGGAATAAAGAATAATGTGGTAGGTTCCCTGTTCTGGGGTGGGTAATGGACAGCAGGCAGATGGGGAAACAGACCTATAGACCTGACTCATTGAAAGTTTTATCGAGGGGGAGGTAAGAAAAAAGGTAAAGACACAGAAACAGAGAGGAAAGAAGAAGGAGATAGGAAAACTCCTGTCTGCCCCAAGGGAACAGTGGGAAAGAGAGATGTGGGCAGGGGTCTTCCTTCCATCCTTCCTTCCATCCTTCCTTCTTTCCTTCCCTTCCTTCCTTCCCTTCTTCCTTTCTTCCTCCCTTCCCTTCTTCCTTCCTTCCTTCCCTCCCTCCCCCTCTCCTTCCTTTCTTTTTCTGACACAAAGTTTCTCTGTAGCTTTGGAGCTTCTGGAACTCACTCTGTAGACCAGGCTGGCCTAAATCCGCCTGCCTCTGCCTCAAGAGTGCTTGGATTAAAGGCATGTGCCACTTCCACCAGCTGGGTCTGTCTTTTAAAGGGTCCTTTACACCTGCATGCAGACTAGTAGCCATGGAACCCTGGGCTGACCAGGGTACTTCCTGAGTGCATTCTTCCAGGTGAAGGGGGAAGGCCAGTATAATGTCTGAATCATTACAGAAGGGAAGTCACCAAGGTGTCAGGCAAAAGGGCAACCATATATCACCATATATCACTGGTTCAGGAGTTTAGTAAGACAAGGGGGAGGGCATACAACTTGAGGTCACAAGTTCAGCTTAGGTTGAAAACCTGGTTTGCAGGATACATTGGGTTTAGGAAACAGAAGTAAGGTGTGGAGACTTAATAACAATGTATAACAATGTGGCTCCTGTTTTGCTTTCACTTTCGACAGGTGTAAGCTCCTTAACATTCCGGAAAGCCACAGAAATATTCCATTTACAGCTGTAGATGGTGCACACATACTATGTCAATGGCCAAGAGTGATGGGAGATGTCATTCTGTAAAAATGTTTCTCTTATTGGTTAATGAATAAAGCACTGTTGGCCAATAGGAAAGCAAGATAGGCGGGACTAGGAGAAGGAGGATTCCGGAAGTGGTAGGGGGAGTTCCAAGATGGAGGATGGAGAGAGACGAACGCCACTTCCTCTCTTGGATAGGAGGAGGCCACGTGGAAATACTTAAATTAATAGAAATGGATTAATACTTAAGACAGAGCTAGCGGACAAGAAACTAGTAACTGGCCAACAGAATTATATCTTAATACAGCGTCTCTGTGTGTATTATTTGGGGCTGGCTCGGTAGTGGGACCTGAACAGCAGGGAAAACTATTCCTAACACAAGGGCTTAGTAAATAATGCTTAATCAATCTACTAGGCATCTGTAATGTTGGCAAGTACCTTTATAAATTTGCTTTCATCTGGAATTTCTGAAACAGTGGATAGAGCACTTCTCAAAATTGAGAAATGAAAAGTATAATCACAAGTATGTTCTGTGATGCCTGCTCTGTATTTGGTTTTTCTTAATCACTTGAAAATAACAAGATGTACTTATGGGTGATTGCAAAGCCCTCTAAAAAAATGAACACTTTTAAATCTTAGAAGAAAATGATGTCCTAAATAATGTGTAGTAAGAAATGAGAGGTACTGTAAGAATTGAATAAAAAATGTTTCTGGACCATCTTCGGATTGCTATTCTAAAATGGAAATGAAAAGTTTCTACACCCCAATAACCCTCTCCATCTGCACAGCAATCCAAATCAAACCAAATCAAAAAGTCCACGTTTAAAGAATACAAGGCTCCCAGATGACCTTCCAGCACCCCCCCCCCACCAGAGAGGAAACCAGAAAACCAGGAGCCTGTTTTCCGGGGGATAGTTTAAATACTCTTTATTAGTAGTATTGAGCATCTTGTGGGGAGGGATCACCATTTGGTGGGCTTTCTGAGATGCAGCAAAGTTTGGGGGGAGACAGGGGAGGGGGCTTGGGTGGAATTTCCACCATAACATCCCAGACTCTTTGGGTATATATATGGGTGCCAGCGACTGGGGTCAAGCTTCCACAGTAACAGGGAATAGTAACAGAATGTGCCTCTTAGATTTGAGAGAAACAAGGACAATGTAAAATGGTATTAAAAGTGCTGGTGACTTCCTTGAAATGTCAAGTTGATCCAAACAGAAGCAGAGGCTGGCATGAGAGGCATGATTCTTGCCTTGGGATCATTTAGTCCCAGCTTTGGCCCATAGTTGTGGGCTCATGACTCGGATCTCAAAAGCCCACTAACATTTACTGAGGTTTTCTGTTCCAAGCCATGTGCATTATCTCATTTTAGTCTCAGGACTTTGTTCAAATGGAAATAGTATTATTTTCTTATTTATATGTATCTGGAAATGGGACATAGGGAATTACATACCATAAAAACGGTTTTATTTCTGTGAAGAGACACTGTGACCACAGCAAGTCTTATAAAGGAAAACTGGCTTGCAGTTCAGAGATTATTGTCATGGCTGGAAGCATTGTGCATGCACACAGACATGGTGCTGGAGAAGGAGCTAAGAATTCTGCATCCTTATCTGAAGGCAGCAGAAGTGAATGCCACACCAGATGTGGCTTGAGACCTCAAATTCCACCTACCCCCCCCCCACAGTGACTATGCCCTCCAACAAGGCCACATCTCCCTATAGGTCTATGGGGGCCATATTCTTTAAAACCACCACAGTAATATAAAAGATAAATCCAGGAAATGAGCCCTAGTGATTTCCTTCAGGGACTACTACAAATGGGGTTCTGAAATGTTCAGGCATAGTCCCGTAGAACAGGTGTATACAATTGTGAATCCAAGTGGCAGTGTTTACTGAAAAGAAACACTGACAAAGCAAAGTTGCCACCAATTCTATGTCCTTTCTACACAAAATCAGATTGTTAGAGAACCTGCTAAGAATGGAAATAGAATAAGAATACCTTGTCTCAAAACATGATCCCAGTCGATGGTGAGATGGCTCAAAGGGCAAAAGTACTTTTAGAGAAGTCCAATGACCTCAGTTCAAGTCACAGAAACCAAGTACATGAAAGAAGAGAACCAAGAAATTGTCTTCTGACCTCCATGTGTGTGTGTGTACTGTGGCTTGTGTGGGGCCTGCGCGCGCGCGCGCGCGCGCACACACACGTAAATGTGTGAACATGAGTCTTTTAGAAAGACATGTAAGTATGTAGAAAATGGCCTTTTTAGGGAAGAGAAAGGAAACCATAGAAGGGTAAAGGGGACAGAGGTGACAATAGATGAGGGGTTGCTATTCTCAGTTAAGGCTACTTGTAGTGATCTTCAACCTCATTTATAAAAATCTCAGCCAAGATTTAATGAGGGTTTACTTCACCTGGACAAGAATGCTCATGGACTCCAAACACACTTGACAGGCATTGCCAGCCTCCAACCACCTCCCTCCTTGCCCTGGACAGACAATCCCCCTTCAGTTCACACAGGCTTGTGTGTCATATTTCCTGTTGTGAAAAATTATACTGCCTGGATAAATTCTCGTGTGTGTGTGTGTGTGTGTGTGTGTGTGTGTGTGTGTGTGTGTGTGTGAGTGTGTGTGTGTGTGTGATTGTCACCTTCTTTAAACAATACTTAACCACATATTTTCTGTTGCTGTAGTATTTTCTCCTGACATCCTAAATTAACTGTGTTCCAGAATACATTTTAAACTGTTTACATTATTATCACATATGATTAATACATGTATTAATAAAATACATTAAAAATACATTTGAAATAGCCGCTCCTACTTTAGTCTGTGCCAGACCAATCTTTTCCCGGTTGCGTGGTAACCTAGCAACCAGGAGGGGTAAAAGAGAATGCCTGAGCCGTGTTGTCCAATCAGCTTAACCGACTCACACGTCACCGCGGAGGCTGCCGGCGAGCCGGCGCCTGCGTACGGCGAGTGCGGGTACCATGGTGACGCGTGCAGGGCCTGCGGTGGCCATGGCGGTCAAATGGAGCCCTGCAGCCCGGGCTGGCACCGCGTTCCTTCTCTTGGTCCTCTGCGGACGCTCACGGGCCCAGAGCTTCTCCTTCCCTTTCCGGCGGCCGGAGGCGTGCAGCCCCAATCAGTACTTCGACATCTCTACGCTCTCCTGTGAGCCCTGTGGCGCCAACCAGAGGCGGGATGCCCTAGGTGAGGCGCTTTGGGGTGGATGGACCCTGAGCAACACCACACACTCTTGACACCCCGATATTTTGTTAGAAGAGTATTTCCGAAAATTCACAGCCGCCATGCCTAAGAAAGGGGTTTCTGGGAGGATTGCATTGGCCACTAATAATGGGATCGGGAACCCTGGCCCCACAACCCTACCTTAACCAGCAACTCATTTCCAAGGGTCATTTCCTGGAAGGGAATCCTTAGGGTAGCGCCTGGAAAACCTCCTAACAAAAGCAGAATAGAAATAGTAAAGAAGTAACCCTGGTGACTGACAAGAAATAAAGGGAGGAAATGTGTATTTCTCGTATGATCTTACTCCCCAAGAAATTGAGAGTTAGAGGCGACCGTACCTATGATCAGATTCTGTACATTGTACACATAAGGAAATTGAAACCCATATGTGACAGCTGTATGATGTTCACTGGAAGCTAAGAGAACTCTTGTCTCTTTTCCCTCAATCTCTACCTGTGCATCTATTAGATTTCCTTAGGACCTCTCCCTTTTATTGGTGATCGTTATTGTTTGTTCCTGATGTCTTTTTTGACTGAGGTTACTTTTTCTCCTAAATTGCATCAATTGGTCTAGTTCTCACTGAAACTACTCAGAGTAAGACGTTTTCTGTTTACTGAAGTCTAAATGCTTTGAGTCTGAGTTTGGTTGACTGTCATCTTTAGATCTCTCTTTGGTCGTTGAGCAGTGCAGATCAGAGTGTCGGGAGAAGTATGAGAGAAACTATGCTCTGAGTTGTATATGCTCCACGTTTGTAAAGGAAGGTGTGTGTTGTACATAGACTCCTATGGGTGCTGTTTTTACTTAGGGTCCTTAGAGCTTAATTATATGAGCAAGTTGAATAGTAAAACAATATTTACTGTCTTTCTAAACAAAGAGTAACAGTGATACATTGGATGAAAATAATTTTTTAGTAACATACTGACAAAATTTATTAAACACACACATATGGTTTAGTGACAAGAAGATAGTTTTCTTAGTTTAATAATTACAATTTAAATAGCAACCAAATACCAGACATATTTCTAAGTCTTGACCCTATTAGGTAGGTACTGTTATTTTCTCTGTTTTACTAAGCAAGAAGCCAAGGTGTAAAGTTCATGGGCCCATCCAATGTGTATATATACACAAATACACACACACACACACACACACACACACACACACACACGCAGACGATACCTGGGCTGGCCTCCCAGTCCCTGTGTGGGCAAGGATAACCTTGAATCCTGCCTGATCTTCCTGCCTCTTCATCCTAGGTGTTGGGGTTACAGGCATACAGCACTACTCCTAGCTTTAAGATCTCAGAACCTGTTAAGTTTCCCTGTCTCGAAGTTTCATTTACTAAGAACAAAATTGTCTGTTTTCCTTTCAGGAACTTCATGTGTATGTCTACCAGGATATCATATGATCTCTAATTACGGAGGACCATCCATTATTTGTAAAAAGTGTCCAGAAAACATGGTATGAAGAACTGATTTCAAAATAGCTTTTGTGAAAACAGTAATAAATATCTTTCTCTCTCAAACTTCAATATAATCTTCCCCATTTCTCTACAGACTTTAAAGTTAGTAAGCTACCTTTGGTTTTTTGTTTGTTTGGATTTTTTGTTTTGTTTTGGCTTTTGTTTTGTTTTGTTTTGTTTTGTTTTGTTTTTCGAGACAGGGTTTCTCTATATAGCATTGGCTGTCCTGGAACTCGCTCTGTAGATCAGGATGCTTCAAACTCACAAAGATCTGCTGCCTCTGCCTCCCGAGTGCTAGGACTAAAGGCGAGTGCCACCAACACCATGCTTTAAGCTTCCGTTGTTATTGTACTTTTTTTTTTTTTTGAGAGAGAGATCAATAAAATACATGAAAACTTGTTATGAAAGTATTTGAATCAGATATCCCCCAAGTCCAAAGCTGTAAAAAATTGTTCCCATTTTCCTCATAGAGTAACTCAGGTCAGCATTACATACGTAGAACAATTCAGGATGAACACTCTGATATAGATGACTGAGGCGTATAGGGTCAGTGGTCCGACAGGATGATGGATAGTCATAATGCTTATGCAATGCCAGGTGCATCAATAAAAATTTAAATATATGTTGCAGTTTGGTTAGTCTCTTCGTTACATACTGATTTTGGGAAATTTAATCAGTTAGTACTTGTTGCATGGCCTAATTTTCAATTAATACAATTATGTTTTCCTTTCTAATCATTTTAGGAGTCTTTGTAATAGTTCTGAGTTTTATTATAATGTTCTTATTTTAGTCTGAGAATCTGTTAGCATTAGCAGTTACCCTCTGAATTATTTGTTCTGAGGATCTGATTGCCATATTTATATTTAGTTCATGTTTTGGGAGTTCTAGTTGCAGCTGAATGATTGATGATGAAAGCTGTGAACCGAATATAGTTTTGGGGGCAAGTTTATTTTCCAGTGATATTATCGAAGCTATTGTAGTTTTTCGTGTTACACAGCAGGCCAAATGTAAAACATCTATTAAGAAGGTCAGTCTCTTCAACAAAGTCTAATTTGTGTCATTATTTATTTTGACATTAGTCTATTGATTTCAGGCATAACTGTATCTTTAATAATGTTATTCCAGGTTTGTCCTAAACTATGTGACATGAGAAGGTTAAGTCTTCATGATGTCAAACCTTACTCAAACCTTTGTTAGTCCATTGTACTAGACCAGTATTTCATTGAATTCTCTTGAATGAAATTAATAACTACATAATTGACATTTCATAAACCCACTTGGAATTATAACTTAAAATTTAAAAGCCAATAAACTGGAATATTTTAACATTAGAACATTGTGGAACAGGTAAGAGTAAAACTGATAACTGGCTTTTATCTATTAAATTCTCTTGAATTTTGTTGTATTTTCTATTTGTCAATGCAAAGCTGACAAATAATTTTAAATTTATATGATCAATTAAGAAAGTTGATTAAGAAGACAATCTCCTGTTTTTTTGTTTTTTTTTTTTTTTTTTTAACTTTAGAAAGGAGTTACCAAAGATGGCTGGGACTGTATTTCTTGCCCTAGTGGCTTAACTGCTGAAGGAAAATGCCACTGTCCCACTGGTCATATATTAGGTAAGAATAGTATTTATAAAATAGTGGTGATGAATTTTTATTTGTGTGTATTTTATAAAGGACCTTGATTTAAATGGCTTTGTAGTCGTGTAAAAATTGTTGGAGTACAAAATTTTATGATGCTTGACACAACAGACATTGACAAGAAAATTTTCAAGAATTCTTCCTGATTCAACATTAGATGTATATTTCCTTAATAAAACATGATATCTACATCGCAACTCAAGAACCAATGTAACTCTTTTTTAATTTTTAAATTACATTTATTTATTTATGTGTGTGTGCATGTGCAAATAAGCATTTAGATGTGCACCTGTATAGTGCATGCCTGTGTATGCACATATGTGCTGTGTGGTGCATGCCTGTATGGAGGGCAGAGGACCACCTGCAGGAGTCAGCTCTCTGCTTCCACCATGGGGACCACAGATTGTACTGCAAGCCATCTTGCTTGCCCCTAGTTTTGTTTGTTTGTTTGTTTGTTTTCCTTTGAGGCAAGGTCTCTAGATAGCCCTGGTGGTCACAGAATTAGTTTGTAGATCTAGATCCAGCCGGCCTTGGACTCACAGAGATCTTCCTGCTTCTGCTTCCCAAGGGCTAGGTTTAAAGGTGTGCATCACCAGGCACGACACTGATTCCTCAGAGGGAAAAGTAGTAAGCATGTCTGGATAAGGATAGATACTGTTGTACTCAAGTAAAAGTCAAAAGTATTCTTAGGAAAGAAAAGTTTTTTGGAAAGTCATTACCTGAGTATAAAGTCACTGTGTATTTGGAAAACCCAAGGAAATCATTATCATTAAAAGTTCCTATAAACACAAAGGTTCTCAAGTTACAAAATCAACATTCAGGAGTTACCTTCTATGTAAAAAGGCAAGTGATTGGACAATGTGATATAAGAAAATAGAAAATGAAACACACTTTAGAAATGTATGAGATAAATTCATTGAAGATGTATGTAAATGAGTTTTAAAAGAAGGCTTTTTAGTTATCATTTTTGTTTGTTTGTTTGTTTGTTTTTAAAGAAAAAACACCTCAGAGCCAGCAAGCTGTAAATCTTGGCTGCTGCCTGGAGGAGGATTGAGGGAGGAAGGGGAAAGCCATGCTGGGCCCTGCTGCTGAGTTAAGCTGACTCGAGGTCAGCCATGTGACTCAGGCCATCATCAGAAAAAAGATAAAGGCGAGGCTGCCGGTCAGATGAATACCGTTGCAGCTTTGGAGGGCCTGCCAAAAACATGCTTTAATAATGAAAATATATCTTCATATTTGGTTGAGAAGATTAAATATAAAAACTGTCAGCTGTCTTACCAGCCTATATATTAAGTAAAGGTGTTAATAATAAATCTGCCAGGGTTTATTTGTCCCAAATGACACACAGATTCGCAAACTTATAAACAAAATACATGAAAATTCTGAAAGGAAACTGTGCTGTCAGATATTGTGTGTGTTTTATGCTTTTAACAACAGCATGTATGGAACTTAAGACACAATCAAAATGAGTCCAATCATTTGGTATGCACCAACCAATTTGCTATGAAAAAGCGCCATCAGTAAAGATGGGACTGATTAACTGGTGGTGTTAGAAAACAGTGAGTTGGATTGCTACCTCAATCCTTAAACTCCAAGTAAGCCCAGTATTTAAATATTTATTGTAAAGCATGAAAATTCTTAAAGATAAACATATATTCTTTGTATGTAAAGTCTTTCTCAGTACAGAAAAACAACAACTCCAAAGCCACAGAAGGGAAAATTGATAAAATTGATTGTATAAAAAATTAAACTTTCATAAAATAAAAGTCCCAAAAAAGAAGGGCTGAAGAGATGACTCAGTGGGTTAAGTACTTTCAGCCAAACCTGAATATAGTTCCCCAGGACCCGTGTGAAAGCCAAGTGTGTACGCACATCTATAATGCCAGCAGCAAGAGTGGTGTGTGTGTGTGTGTGTGTGTGTGTTAGCAACAGATTGGTCTCAGAATCTTGAAGTGTGCGCTCCAGATTTGGGAAGAGACTTTGTCTCAAACTGTAGATTGAGCATTATAGAGGAAGACATCCATTTGATCTTTGTTCTCCACACACCCATGCATGGTCGCACTTCCCCACATACACACACAGAAGTACCTAAAATAAAGCTGAAAACTAAAGACGTTTTCTTAATGCAGACAACAGTTAGAGGTCCAAGTTCTTCAGTACATATAAGGAGTAAGATACATAATATTTTTACTTTTTGTTAAATTTGTTGGTTGACAATGTCATATATATGTAATGTATTATAATTACACGCATCCTCTACCCTCTTTTATCTCTCTTGTAAATCCTCCCTTTCTGCATATAAATCAGATGTATAACATCCTGTTTGTTTTGAGGCAGTGTCTCATGTACGCCAGGCTGGCAGAGTCACTGTGCAGTCAGAGATGTCCTGAGTCCCTGATGCCCCTGCCCACTTCCCAAGTGCTGGGATGACGATAGGCATGTGCTGCCTTGCCTGTGGCTTATAATTGTGTTGTTCCTGTTGTTTTGTTTTTCAAGATAGGGTTTCTCTGTAGCTTTGGAGCTTCTCCTGGAACTCGCTTTGTAGACCAGGCTGACCTTGAACTCACAGAGATCCACCTGCCTCTGCCTCCCAAGTGTGCCACTACCACCTGGCTTTAATTTTTAAAACAGTAAAAAAAAAAAAAAAATCACAAAAGTCAGCGACTAAATTCATTATACCTTGAAAAGAGTTAATCATGAGTATATATTACTATTCTGCTATTTTAGACATATCAGTTCTTCTCTAACAAATACCATATAACCAAACACAATAACCATCTTTAATGAAGATTGTTGTGTTCTGGTGCAAGTGCTTCTGTAGGTTTTGTGTCTAAAATTCAAATTTAGTGCTGGGTGGGGTATGTGAGTTTGGAGGTTATTGAAAGCCCTCCCATTTATGGAAACTGGTCATCAATCCATGAAACAAATATTTTTCCTCATCCCAGTATGACAGGAAAGATGTTAAAATTTTTGTTTAGGAAAAATGTTGATTGACTGTTATAATCCCTTAGGAAACTGATATCTATATGTTTTCCTTTGAAGTGGGGAAGATTTTCCTTGCATATTTTATATTTACATGCTTGACATGCCTTCCAAGCAAATGATGTTGCTATGAGAATTATTATACTACTAATAATTATACATTTATGTGAATATTTCAGAGCATATAGTACAGCATTCACCGTTTTGCTTGTATTTTGCACAGTGGAAAGAAATGTCAGTGGGACTTTGTTATCTCAAGCCACTTGCGAGCTTTGTGATGAAAATGAAAACTCATTCACAAAAGCAGACGCTTTAGGCAGCAGGTAAGTAGGACACTGAGAACTGACTTCCCTGGTGTCATCCTGTTTTTATGTTCCATCTGTGTGTCCCAAAAAAGAATATTAGAGGACATTAAAGGATCTGAGACCCAGACCCATGAAAAATTGTGTTCAAGTCCTCAGCCTTTTACTAGTCTGACTTTAGGTAGTCACAGTCCCCTGTATTTAGAATGGAAAAACGCTCTTCACTTAAGGATAAATATGCAAGACTCAGCATAGTGCTGTAGTCACTGCTTAGCAAAAGGCAGCTATTTTTGTTCCTTATTATGTAACTTGTATGTAAGCTATAGAATAGTATGTATAGAATATGGTTTGAAAATTGTTTTATATTACAGTGTTACATAGAAGGGTGTCTTGCTTTACCATGATAACTGTTAGAAAAGAAAGCATTTAATTTGGGGCTTGCTTACAGTTTAAGATGCTTAGCCCATGGTCATCATAGTGGGAAGCAGACAGGCATGGCATTGGAGTAGGAGCTGACAGCCTTACATCCTGATCTTCAGGCAACAGGCAGCGAGAGATACTGGGCCTGCCCTGGGTCTTTGACCCCTACAAGCCCACCCCAGTGACACACCTCCTCCAACAAGGACACACCTCCTCCAACAAGGACACACCTCCTTATCCTTCTCAAACAGTTCCATTTCCTGATGACCAAGCATTCAAGTATATGAACCTATTGGGGCCATTCTCATTTAAACAAGCACAAGGACATATTAATAAACATTGTCATAACTCAGGTACACTGACTGGTAGCCCAATTTTGTATTGCTTCTGTTCCCTTCTATTTGCCGCATGCACATAAATTCATAAGCACATCCCTTTCTCCACATGTTCCTCTGGTTTAAACACATTATACTTACTCCATTATACATATACCAATGCCTCTTGGCACAGTTTTTCTCTTTATTTTTAAGTTTTTTCATATACATGTTGAAATAATTTTAATGGAAATATATTTATACACAAAAGGCAGCCATTTTAAGCACACAAAGTAAAACACTATACAAACTTATTTTCTGATTCACAAAAGTGTATACAGTGATTGTGCATTATTTGTATATATAACTGTACATTTTTTAAAATGTGCGTATAATAAAATATAAAGACAAATACATTTACTCTTGTTAATCATTTGTTCAGTCACTGAAGTGTGTGGCTGAGATTATTATGAATAGAAGATAATGAGATGTGCTATCACCCAAAAGGGGAGTATCAGATTCATTACTCTTGTTAATCATTTGTTCAGTCAGGGGAGTATCAGATTCATTCAATGTAATGAACACTAACCTCACATTGTATAAAAGGAGATCAAGAGAGACATCTGGATTTCCCTCAAACGTGGCAGTACCTGTGTACTCTGCTCCTGTCCACGAATAGGGTTAGAAGAAGTTGTATAATAAGTCAGAGCTTGTAAACACTGGAGAGAGGCAATGAGATCACCCCTTAGCCTCTGCTGTCTGATGACAAATATATCAGCAATGAGGAAATCCTAAGAAAGAGGCTGTGGGTGGATGTGTGGAGACTTTCGATACAGCATGCTCTGTGGTCATCCAAGCACCCCTGGCTGTAGCAGTGCATTGTGGGAAAAAAAAATTAAAAATGAAGAGAAACGCATGCCTGTGCTCTCAGCTTACCCTGAAAAGTATTTGATATACCTACGTGTACACATTGATTTAGTACCATTTACATGAGTTTGTTTGGCTCTGATATGAATGGTTTTATAATCTTCACTGTACTCATGCGATACATTTTCATGTATATAGTTAAGAAAATAGCCCCTGTGATTAGCCAATTTCATTTTTACTTTGCTATAATGATGTAAAACTCTTTAAAGGCAGACTAATGTTTCAAGCTTATATAGTCAATTACTGAGTTGACTTGTTGTGTGCTAATGTGTCATTTAGGGAAGATAAGTTCTCAGTTAAGTTGCACTCATTAACATTTAAAAGTTTTTTTTATTGTGTTGACCAGGTGTGTCCGCTGTGAACCAACGTTCGTGAATACCAGCAGATCTTGTACATGTTCAGAGCCTCACGTTTTAGTAAGGAAAATCAAGGGGATGAAGTACACATTTTTAATTCAGTAGATAATAATGCCTTTCTGTAATCAGATTTTTTCTCTTATTTGTGAAGGCAGGTGGATTATGCTTCAGCAACACAGGCAATTTTCGACAACGTGTGATTTCCACGGCACGTTATGGAGAGCTTGTGAGTGTTTCGGGTTCTTTTTCTTTTCCCCCTGTTTGATTGAGAAAGGTTGTCCTGCATTTCTTCCTTCGATTAATTTCAGACAAACTGAGAAAGCTTTATGTATAAAGGACTTTAAAATACAAATAAGTAAAACCATGAGTCTGACATCTCATCAGTATATTTAAAAGTGTGTTCTTTCTCTATACCTTATCTCATCCCTTTAATTTACATGGATTTCATTTTCATAATTAAAACTGAAATCTCATCTCTCAGGAGATAGAAGCAGGTGGAATTCTGTGAGTTCGAGGCCAGCCTGATCTATAGAATGAGTTCCAGGATGGACAGCCAGAGCTATGGGGGGGGGGGGGGGAACAAAACAAAAAAAGAAATAAGTTTTCAAAAGGTGTCTTTTTCCTGAAATTTCCAGCTTTTAGCGGTTATGTCCCTTTTTTGTTTTCCAGCATGAGATAGGCCCTTAGTCTGTTCTTTCCTTGTCAGTTCAGGTTCCAAGACTTCCCATGTGTGGGATAACCCCAGCCTGCATCTGTCCTGTGTCTCATCACAGTCAGTGTGTGCTTGCTAGAAAACCATTAAAGAAAAAATGGCACCATCAACTCAGTGCTTTATGTCCTGTCAGTGTACGGTGTCTGTGTGTCTGCCCCATCCTGTCAGAGAGCATGCAGTGTCTGTCTGCCTGTCCCATCGCTGATACTGTCAATTTTGAACACCTGCCATGATGTTACCATGAGAACCTTAAACTCACCATTTCCTCCCTTGTAATTGAAGAGTGCTTTTTTGAAGGGAACTTCTCCCATCCAAGGACTGTCTGAGCCCGACCCTGCAATAGCTTCTGAGATAAGGTGCAGTCAGGATGGTCTGGCCATAGATGGTGTGAGGAGAATGTCAAAGGTTATACTTCACTGACTCTTAACATACCATCTAATCTCTTCCTGATTCTTTCCTTTAACAGCCTTCCACGTTTATTCATTGACTCCATCATAAAGAACACTTGTGCGTGTGTGACTATGTATGTGTGAGTCTAACTGTGCATGTGTGTGCTTTCTTCTTCCTTATTCTATGCATCTATTCTTCTTGCTAAAGCAGAAAATTTTGCTTGTTGAAGAAATGAGGACAGTGCCTCGTGATTGTGATTTAATGTGTCTGATGGTGGTAACTCACTCCTGTGTTCTCAGTGTCTCAGCTTTCGACCAGAGGTTTATACCTATAGCTCTGAGAATTCCCTTATGAAAGCAGGTTTGATAACGCTCTTCTATCAGCCTGGCACTTAAAAGTGGAGGCAAGAGGATCAGGAACTCGAGGTCACAGTTGGCAATGTAGTGAGTTTGAGACCAGTCTGGGCTCCATGAAACCAGGCTCAATAAAACAAACAAACAAACAAACACCATGTATGCCCACCCTGGCCTCCGGGTGTTTCTGTATTCCTTTGGATAAATCAAGTGCCTTTTGGTTTTAGGTCATTCCAAAGGTTATTCTGATGCCCTTCGTTGTACACAAAGCACCATTTTGGAGATATCAGATATTACTCTGTAGATCATAACTTTCCCATTGTGTAGCAATTATTCTCATTTTTTTAGCGCTCATTTATTTGATACACTTACAGTAATCTAATAAGTCAGCAAACATTAACCACTCAGTACTCAATCAGCCACTATCATTTTCCTCTTTATCATTTTGCTTTTTGTTTCAGTGAAGTTAGCATCTGTATTTTAGAAGTGTGTACGTATTTTATCATCCTTTGTCTAAATGTCATTATTTTGTCACACAGCTTTACTTGTATAGAAATCACAGATCAGCATTTTAAAAATTCCAATAGACTCCATTTTTCTAATAACAATAAAAATGGCATTATTCGTTTCTCAGTTAACATATGTATTAATGTCTTCCTAACACGTAGGAGTAAGGAATCCTATTTTGAATTTAAACCTATCTTCATCTTTCTGTTTATAGGGCATGTTATTAAACTCAGAATGGTTTGCCAAGTATTTGCAGGCAGCAGCAGCTGCATGCTGGGTAAGTTTAAATGCTTTCAAAATTATTTCACATTGATAAATTATAGTATCTCTTTTTAAACTTAGATAAAAGTTTTCTAAGTAGATACATTTCTTTAGTCATATTCTATAAGAAGAATAAAGTATTTCTATTGAATTGAAATAGAGCATATAAACCTTATGTAGTTTACACATAGCAATTGTCTCCAGGGTTATTTGATGGTTGCCTTAGTTGCTGTTCCGTTGCTGTGACAAAATACCAGGACCACAGCAACTTATAAAAGAGAGCTTTGAATTGGACTGACAGTTCAGAAGGTTAGAGTCCCTGGAGGCAGAGTGGGTATGGTGGCCGGGACAGCTCACATCTTAATCCACAAGCAGGAGAGGGAGAGACGCCACTGGGTATGACAAGGAGTCTTTTGAAACCTCAAGGCATCCCCAGTGCCACACCCCCTCCTAGCCCTTCCCAAGCAGGGTCCCACTGGGCCCGAGTATTCAGACTTATGCACCTGGGGTGATCCCCATTCAAGGCGCAACAGCTGTAATTTCCTGTCTGGAGAAACTGAGTGTCACTTAGGATGTATCTTATGGTGACATGGTATGTGCCGGGCCTGTTTTCAGCTTTAATATTCAGAAAACAGAAAATGTCCCTCGTGTAAGTAATCAGAATGTACTTATCATCCCTCTTTACATTGGTCTAAATAAATGCCAGGTTGTTAATAGTGTATGACAGCAATCAATCAGAATAAGGAACAAAAAGAGTAAATGTGTATCTGTGTGTATGCTGGGTGTTTTAGCTTTTTGTTCATTTGGTTTTAGTTGTTTTGTTATTGTTGTTGTTTCTAAGATAGGATCTCATTATGAAGCCTAGGCTAGTCTGAAACTCACTCTCTATGTAAACCAGACTGGTCCAAACTCACAGAGATCCGCCTGTCTCTGCCTCCTGAGTACTGAGGTTAAATCTGCACCAGCATGCCTCACCTGCACTGTGTTACCTAGAGTGGTAAAGGCATACCAGTCTCTAGAGTGGTATTTAGCAAATACTGGAAGCAGCGCTAGTAAGCCGTGTAAATACGAAGGAGAAGTGCTCTAGGAGGAGACCGCCACTGCAGTAAAGACCATGGAGCTGAGAATCGACTCTCTGTCTCACTCATGCTTAGTCCGCTGAAAGTAGGGGGGGGGGCGAGCAGAGTGAGCGGGGGGATTGGAAGGGGAGACAAAAGTGTAGTGAATGGCTCCCGGGAGCCAGAAGGGTTTCTGCACAGAAGGACATAATCTGGTTTCAGGGTTTGAAGATATTGCTGTGGCATGAGGCATAGATTTTTGGGGCAACACCGGGAGCAATGAGATCACTTAGAGCCCTGTTAAAGTAAATTGAGCGAGGGACAGCATAGGCGTGGGTGGAGTTGTAGAGGTAAGATGCACATTGAGCTTCTGCCTCTTAGTGCATGCTGAGCAGCAAGACTCACTGACAAGTTAGATATGAGAGGGGAAAAGGCAAGTTCTTTCTAAAGTTTCTTACTTGAATAACAAAGTGAAGTTGCCTTTTCTAAACAGGGAAAACTGGGAGAGGAAGTTGAAAGAGTAAACTCAACTGATTTGATTCTGGTGTTCATAAAAACAAATTACTTAAGCAAAGTGGAACAAATTCTATTTTACAATCCCTGAGAAATCGCCATCCTGCTTTCCACAGTGGTTGCACAAGTTTGCACTCCCACCAACAATGGAGGAGTGTTCCCCGTTCTCCACATCCTCTCCAGCATAGGCTGTCATTGGTGTTTTTGATTTTATCCATTCTGATAGGTATAAAGATGGAATCTCAGAGTGGTTTTGATTTGCATTTCCCTAATTGCTAAGGATGTTGAGCATTTCCTTAAGTGTCTTTCTGCCATTTGAGATTGTTCTTTTCAGAATTCTCTGTTTAGATCTGTACCCTATTTTTTAATTAGATTATTTGGGATGCACATTCACACCACAAGGACATTTGCTCAGCTATGTTCATAGCAACATTATTCATAATAGCCAGAATTTGGAAACAACCTATATGCCCCCTCAACTGAGGAATGGATGTAGAACATGTGATACATTTACACTACTCAGCAGTAAGAAACAATGACATTTTAAAATTCACAGGCAAATGGACAGAACTAGAAAACAAACAAACAAACAAACAAACAAAAACATCCTGAGTGGGGTAACTCAGACCTAGAAAGGCAAATACAGTATATACTCACTCATAAGTGGATACCAGACATAGAGCAAAAGACACCCAGCCTGCAATCCCCAAGCCCAGAGAAGCTAGAACCCTCTTATAGAAACAGATAGAAGCAGATGCAGAAATCCACAACTAACCAATGGGCCAAGCACCTGCAGTACAATTAAAGTGAGGGAGGAGTCAAGACCATGATGGGTAAACCCACAGATTCACCTGACCTGAGCTAGTGAGAGATCACTGACTCAGGTCTGACAAAAGGGGAACCTGCATAAGACCAAACTAGACTCCCTTAATATAGGTGACAATGGTGTGACTGGGACAATATATGAGGCCACTGGCAGTGGGTCCAAGACCTAACACTAATGCACAACTGACTCAGTGGAGCCCATTCTATATGGAGAGATACCTTGCCCAGCCTAGACACAGGGGTGTGGGGATGGAGAGGTGCCTTGGTCCTGCCTCAACTAGATGATGGGACAGACTTAGTAGTCTTCCTAGGGGAGGCCTTACCCTCAAGGAGCAGATGGGAGGGGGAGGGGGGCAGCAGGAGGAGAGGAGGGTGGGGGAACTGGGATTGGAACATAAAAAGTAAATTAATAAAAAACTTTAAAAAGTAAGACACACAAAAATATGCAAAATATAACTATCTAATAGTTATTATTTTTAATATCATACTCTATACTTGTACTTCTTTCATATAGTCATGCTAACATTTTGCCCAAAGTTTATAATTACAGTATTCTTATTATTCATCTTCATGTATTAAGAGTTTATTTTCTGGGACTGAGAAGATGGCTTAGCAGTTAAGAGCACTGGCTATTCTTGCAAAGGACCCAGGTTCAGTTCCAAGCACCCACATGGTGGCTCACGACTGTGTAATTCCAGTCCCCGGGGAAACTGAAGCCCTCTTCCGGCCTCTGCTGGCATGGTGCACACAGATGCACATGCAGGCAAAGTCCACAGACACATAATTCAAAGTGTTTGAAAGTGTCTCGTCTACTTCATCGTCCGCATCGGTCTTCTGTCCCCTTTGGTCTACACGGCTGATGCTGCCCTCTTCCTCCTGCAGATGCATGCTAACCTGACATCTTGCCAAGCGCTTGGAAATATGTGTGTGATGAACATGAACTCTTACGACTCCACCTTTGACGCGTGCCGCCTGTTTCACTACATCTTTGAAAGCACTGCTGGTTTGAGCAGTATCCATTCTATCCCATTCTGGTAAGGAAGGCTGTGTGGATTGGTGAAATGTTCTGAATGAACTCCGTGCAGTTATTTTCGCAAATATTAGTAATATGAACTATTTCTTCCCGTTATTAAGACCAATCTAACTGTTCATAGGAGACAGAACCTTCCTTGGTTGTTTTATGGAGATCAGCCAGGATTGGCACCTCAAGTTCTCAGTACTACCCCTCTTCCTACAAACTTCAGTTTTAAAGGACAAAACCAGGTACAGTCTCCATACCGCCGGAGGGATGACTACACGTGATCTACTAACTTTAGGAGAGGAAATACTGACTGGGATATAGCTCAGTGGCGATGTGCTTATTTGACACCCACAATCCCCCAGGCCCCAGTGTCAGAAAAAAGAGGCAGTTACTGGTCACACTTCTTAATTTCCAAGGTTACTGTTAAAAGTGTACGTATTCAATTATATAAATATCACCTGCTATAGAAACTGCGTAGTGTAGAGTTGGGCTGTCTCACTCTGGGTATCTGGACTGTGTGGATATGGCTGCACTTGGAGGGCTGAGGTGAATGGCGCCATCACCAAATGCACACTCATCTCCTCGTATATGCCCTCACCTTTAAGACAGCGTACAGAAATGGCCCGGGGCTCTGCAGCATTTCATGGCACCCCACAGCTCCTCATTCTTACCTCTAAGCGTTGAACTTTCCAGAATGAGGTGCTATATATTCCCTCCACACTCATCTCATGTAATGAATTTGAGAGAGGCGTCTGCACTCACCTTCTTAGTTCTGAAGTGTGCGTGTGCAAAACACCAGCCCTGTCTTATGGTGTGTTTAAATGTGTAGATAGCGGGGTTCATTTACATTCAAATAAATGTAGCTGAATTTAATTTTTCAACAAAACAGTGTTAACATTGAAAAGATAGCAATAAAAATATTCTCCATATTATTTTCCTCTTGTTTCCCTTTAATCAAAACATAAAGCTGAAGTTTGTTGCTGCTTCCTATGATATAAGAGGGAATTTTATCAAATGGCAAACTCTGGAAGGTGGTGTTTTACAGGTAAGCGTGATCCTAGCTAAAGTATTACTAATGTACTTTACTTCTTGTCTGAGGCAAGGACAAAAGGGACAGACTGGAGAATTGCTTGAAGAGAATCTGTTTATGGCGAGTGTGAGGTAGTGTGAGGGTGTTCCTCATGCTTTAAATTAGAATTTTAAAATTGCATTTGTGTGAGTGTGTGTGCACTTATGCGTGAGTGTGTGAGTGTGTATTGAGTACACGAGTGTGTGAGTGTATGTGTGTGCATGCATGTGAATGTGTGTATGAGTGTATGTGTGTGCATGCATGTGAGTGTGTGTGTGTATGCATGTGCATGCATGTGAGTGTGTGTGTATACGTGTGCATGCATGTGAGTGTGTGTGTATGTGTGTACATGCATGTGAGTGTGTGTAAGTATATGCGTATGTGAGGGTCAGTGTGTGTGAGTGTATGTGTGTGCACGCACATGAGTGTGTGTGAGGGTGTGTGTGAGTGTATGTGTGTGCACGCATGCATGTGTGTGTGTGTGTGTTCATGTACACCTGTAGTGTACATGAGAAGGATAGAGGACAGCTGTAGGAGTCAGTTCTCTTCTATCATGTTGGTCCTTGTTGGGACGGAAGCTTGGTGGCAAATGCCTTTACCTGCTTAGCCATCTTGCCAGCTCCAAGTTGCAATTTCTTTAAAGTGCTTGTTTGTTTTTGGTTTTTGAGACAGGATTTTTCTGTGTAGCCCTGCCTGTCCTGAAACTCACTTTGTAGACCAGGCCAGGCTCAAACTCACAGAGATCCACCTGTCTCTCCCTCCTGAGTGCTGGGATTAAAGGTATATACAGCCACCACCCACAATCCCTTAACTTTTTGTGGCCATCACACATTAAATTAGTAGAAAATAGAACATATGTTCACACGGGAGTCAGGGAACTTTTCAGCAAAAAAATCATTTGAAAGAGATACTCATCAATTTTATTCTTCTTCTGAAGCTTTGTCCAGATACAGAGAAAAGACTAGATGCAGCTTATTCTTTCGGAACAACCTACCAGCAAAACGTGAGTGTGTCTGTATTTTCACTTTGTTCTCCAGTGACTGGAATGGAAGGTGAATATTTTTTTAATCAGAAATTCTTTTCATGGTAATGAACAATTTCATTAATTAATATATCTTGTATTATCTGGACACAGAAAAGATACACTGGCATCTACAGAGTTTTAAATATTCTATAATACTAGATTTTTATAGTCAAGTGTTTATCTGCATCTAGGCTTATGTGTCTTAAGCATAATGCTGCTCTTGAACACTTTATAATAAAGTTAGTGACTACTAAAAATGTAATTCCCTTTTCATTTTACATCCCAATAAAATAACAATATTTTCTTCCCTTTCTCTTAGCCTCTCTCTCTCTGTCTCTCTCTCTCTCTCTCCTTTCCCCTCCCTCTCTCTCTCCACACTTCCTTGCTCCTTCCTGTTATGACTTAACACACTTTGATGTTGCTGTATGGAACAGAGGAATACTGTGAGCCATGAACATTTGAAAGCTCCTCGGTAGCATATAAAAATGTTTCTTAACTCATATGAGCATACACAAAGAACAGAACCACAGTGAACGGTGCCATCATGAGCAACTGATCTGAAGAAGATTAACATTTTTATGGATCAATTTTGGATAGTTGTACTAGAGATGGTTTTTGTTTCATTTCTTATATTTTCCAAATTTTCTACCATAAACATGAACTTATTTTTATGATAAGAAATGACTTATAAGGTGTTTTGTCATCCTCTCTTTATGACAACATGAGCTACAATGAGCGGGGGGAATCCACAGGTATTAAGTTATCTGGTGATGTGCAGCATCCCATTCTGTCCTAAAACAAGAGTCTGAGGGGCTTAGTACCTGTGCTTCAATGGGGCTCAGTGGTATTAGGCGATTCCGCCAATTGCTGCATCAGGTAAATGTTCTGCTAGAGCTAAAGCCATGATTACTACAGTGTAACTGGTTGCCACTCATAAACCTAGTTCACAGAGCTCAGTAAACACAATAACTAGGTAGACAGAGAATAGCAGAGACTGTCCATGTGTTATAGTGTAGATACGCATAAGACACTGGTTCTAGGGGAAACACAGAAAGACCCAAGAGTCAACGATGTTCACGTTGTCTAACTTACATGAGTTAGATGAGCACAGTAAGAAAGGAATTAATGCCACATGAACAAGGTTGGGAAGACAGAGTGGGCCGGCATATACACAGTAAGGACTGTAATGGATTTAATGAGTGGATGAGCATAGAGTGGTAGGGACACTGAGAGATGAACTGAGCCTTCCTGAGGGAAGCCAGTCATATGCATCATTGTACATCAGACAAAAGATGCGCCCTTCATTCTGTAGAACAAAGTAGTTTTTAGGCCTCTCCTTTGATATGCACGTAGTATAAAAAGTAGTAGCCGATCTTCTCATGTTATAGATTAAAAACTGAAGTTCTTTGCTGATTAGATTTTTTTTTTTTTTTTTGAGTGAGCCTTTAGGAATTCATGTTTTGGAAGTCTCTTGGAAGTGCATGCAAATAATAAAGTTTAAAGATACTTCCCAAAATTAAAAAGAAATATTTAATGATAACATATTCTTTCTAATTTAATTTTGAGTTGTGATACTTTTATTTTCATTTAACTTCCTAGTGTGAAATCTCTCTTTCTAAAATCCTGGCTGACTTTCCCAGTCCTATATTTTATGATGTTTACCTCGAATATACTGGCAATGATCAACACCATTATATTTGGGCTGTTCCCGTATTAAACCTAAATCTTCAACACAATAAGATGTTTGTGAACCAAGGTAAGACTTTCTACTCTGTTCTCTCACAGCTGAACTCAATAGATGTAAACAAATATGATAACCTTATAAGCCGGTGATGCTGACAATGTGGATCCTCTTAGTGTATGATTTTATACAGTATGCCCCGAGGCACAATCAAGCGGTAGGATGGCTGCTGTGTTTAGGCCTTTTTTTATAAATTTGATTTTCAGAACTGGAAGAATCATACCCTTGATGAGAGGACATCCTGAGAAAAATGAGAAGGACTGAAAATTGACTTTTTCTTTACTGTTCTTGACCCTCTTTGGGGACAAGCTAATCTCTTTTGTTGTTACGCATGATATAAAATAGGGCCCAGGCTGGGAGAAGAGAAGACTGACAATTTCTTACAGGTGTAGCTCTTTGTGGCCATTTTACTTAAAACAAAACACTAGGTTTTAATCTTGATTTTTTTTTCAGGGTTGTGAGTTTGAAAGTGGTTTTCCTAATGTCCTTTTCCCTTTTTATAATAAAAGACAGTAGCTCCAGCAAGTGGCTTCTTACCCGGCGCATTTTCTTAGTGGATGCTGTCAGTGGACGAGAAAATGACCTGGGAAGTCAGCCAAGAGTCATTCGGATTGCCACCCAGATATCACTGAGGTAAACAGGTCCCTGAAGACTAACTTAGACTTGGGAGTATGTGAGGCAGTGCCTTAAGGAGAGTATTTACCAGGGGCCTATCAGCCGGAAGCAAGAACTGAGCTGAATAACTCACTTTCCTTAGATATGTCTAGGTTGGCACAGGCCAGTAAAGGTTAAGGGATACAGGGGTCACTGATATCAAAAGGGCCTCAGGAGATTGCCCAGATTCATGTTCTAGGTCACTTTGCGAATTACTGTAGGTTGAAAGAGGAAGGAAGTTGATTCCTGTACCTGAAAAGGGTACTCTAGTAAGAGCTGAGGGATGAGGGTGGGCTCAGCCTCCTCATCCCCATTTCTTTTCACAGGTATCCCTCTAGATTGACCCAGGTCAGCAGCATCTCCCTTTTTCTCAAATAGCCTACCGTAGAGTGGTACCATGCAGCCTGGAACTGAGCGGCACCCCCTCCACCCCCGACTCCAGTATTTTATAATTATGCTCTGAAAACATTAGTTTATTAGTTTTTCACATTGAGAACTTCATTTGCTCATTAGTTCATCACTATTTGTTTGGATTCTCATGACGAGTGTGTGAGTTGGCCACTGTGAGAATCCCCTCTCATACATCATGCTGACATCCACATGTACTACGTTTTCACATCTGCTCAGTCTGCCAGTGAATTCCTAATAAAATCAAACCTAATTAGGGTAGACTTGTTCTTGGGGAAGCCATGCTGGCATTTTTCTTTTTGGGTTCACTAACTATAGGGTACTAATATATTGTACTTGCCAAATTGTGCATAAGCCAGAACTAGATGTCTCAGGTATTTTAGTAAAACTTCATCTTTCTTATCTAAAGAGCCCCACTTGTCTGTCATGTAGTACAGCTCGTTCAGCTGCCCCTTGACGACTGGTCACAGGGTGTCAGTGATGTCGTTTGCATGTCAAGGCTGACATCAGCAGCGCTCCAAACTTATCTGATGCAGTGTATTTTACTGTTAAAGCTTTTAACCAAAGAAGATGAGCTATGTTTAACCCTTCGTTTGAGTTAGCCTTCACTAGCCCTTCTGATTGAGTCTAAAAGATAAAGATAGCCTGTACAAAATTCAAAAAAAAATATGCTTAAATATTTATAATTTTAGTTTATTTTCTTTTAATAGCATACGTCTTGTACCCAACACAAAAAATGGAAATATATATACTCCGTTACTTAGCATTGCCTACAGTGACATTGATTTCAAAAATGCTAACAGCCAGTCTGTAAAGGTGAGTTTTGTACTAGTCAGTGCCCTTGTAATTATGAATATTAATATAATGCTGATGTAGCATATAATGGTCAAAAGGTAATGTTTTTAAAGTTTTAAGCAAATCTTTTTCTTCATATACTTAAATCTTAATTAGGGGTATCTAATAAGAGAAAGAAGCTGGGCTCTTCAGGAACTTGAATATTAAAGGACTCGAATGAGTGGCATTTTTATTAATTTTAGTTATGTGTGCTGTGTAGTGGGGGCGAGGCAAGTGTATGCATGTGAGTGCAGGTTCCCATGGAAGTCAGAGCCATCTGATCCCCTGGAACTGAGCTGGAATTGAGGATGGCTCTTTCAACCTGGGAACTGGGAATTGAACTCCACTTGGGTCCTGTGCAGGAGCGCTGTGCAGTCTTGACCACTGAGCCACTCTTCCAGCCCCAGGTGAAGATTTCACTGGAAGGAACAGCAGTGGCTAAGTGTCCCTGCTGTCTCTCCTGTTACTCGTGAGACGCATAGCATCTGGATCTGGCTTTTTTTTTTTTTTGCCTTCCTTGGTTAAACCAGGCACTCAGAAATCACAGTGGTTCTAAGTGCGCTCATCACTGGATGAAGACGCTTCAGCAGGCCCGAAGATTAAAAATCATCTGCTTCAGAACTAGTAGTGCAAAGATGACTACAGAATGGACCTGCGGCCTCGGTTCACTGGAGAGCTGAAGGCTTTCTGGTCTGAGAGGGCCCACCTAGGAGGGAGAAAGAGCTCAGGCATCCAAAAGGCAGGTGTACGAAAGACTAAGCCTGGAAAATCCTGGCCAGACAAGGCCAGTGCCATTCCAGCTGTCCCTCAGAGCATTCCTGCTTGGAGGAGGGACAGATGAGAGAGGGACACCAGTGAAGCAGGACATCCTAGATGCTTTCTTTTCTCCTGAAGATTAATTGGTATGGTACCTGTCCCCTGGAAACACGAGAGGCAGGAGACAAACTTTCCTTACCTCCAGGACTCACTCAGAACCTAATTTCTGCCATCATGCTCTTTGTTATTGTCTTAATCTTCTTGGCTAGCTGGTCCTGCTCTTCCTGTTTGCTCCCTGCTGTGACCAGGCTTTCACTGAACAAAAGAGGGACACAATATAACCTAAAAGATGTCTTGTTCTCATCTGTAGTACTTAATACAGTTAGGTAAGATCAACATCCATTCACAGCGTCTACATACACTGTAACGAGAGAAGAAAATCCAGAAACATGCTGGATAACAACAGAAAATGCTGCCTGGCTTAAAACTTCCTACTAAGTTACTTATTTTAATGCAAACACTCTTCTTTAGATATTATTCTTGTCCACAGTTTGCAAACTAAGAGCTGAGAACCTGAAATATAAGGAATAAAGGCAGAGCAGCAGCAGCACCTACTGGTAGCTCAGTGGGTAAAAGTGCTTGGCAGAAGCCTGACGGCAGGGGTTCAGTCCTGGGAGCTCCCAGTAGGGGGAAGGAGAGACCTGACTGCACAAAGCTGCCCTCTGACCTTCACACATGTGCCATGCAGTGCCTGTGCATTCACGCGCGCGCGCGCGCACGCACACACACACACACAGTTTTAAAATAAAAGAAGAAAAAAAACATTGGGAGCTATGAACTACCTTGATTTGATGGCATTCACCTTAAATTTATTGAAAGTGTAAAAATACAGTGCTTTGACCTTTCTAAGATACATTTTAATTAGGATGTAATTAAGTCGTTTTTAATTTCTTATGACAGCCATTACGAAAGTTCTGCATGAGTTTTAAGTGTCTACCATCTCTCTGACCCCCAGCAGCTAACTAAGTTTACTTCTTGCTTTACCCACACAAACGCCTTGGAACTCCTCCTGGATAACTAAGAAGGGACTCTGATTTGTTTCCTGTCCTGTTCTTGTCTGTTCCTCCCCTCCCCAGTGACCCTGGCCTGTGTGACATGTGACACCCTCCTCCTCACTGACCCTGGGCCTGTGTGACATGTGACACCCTCCTCCTCACTGACCCTGGGCCTGTGTGACACCCTCCTCCTCACTGACCCTGGGCCTGTGTGACATGTGACACCCTCCTCCTCACTGACCCTGGGCCTGTGTGACATGTGACACCCTCCTCCTCACTGACCCTGGCGTGTGTGACATGTGACACCCTCCTCCTCACTGACCCTGGGCCTGTGTGACATGTGACACCCTCCTCCTCACTGACCCTGGGCCTGTGTGACATGTGACACCCTCCTCCTCACTGACCCTGGGCCTGTGTGACATTTCCTGTGCTTGTAGAACTCTTGGGGTGCTTCACTGAAGCAGCTAACAGCAGGTCAGATCCACCCTTAATATTGCCCACTCCGCAGTTTGCCCCGGCTCACTTCCTTCCGTTTTCCAACCATTTGAATCTTTAGTGGTTTTCCCTCCAAATCGTGACATTTTTCTTCTCTGAAAATCTTGGAGGTCAGCCATCTTGACCTTGGCGTTGCTACATCTGATAGTGTACTTCTAACTCCTTCACCCTTCCCCAAACTCACTGTCCCGTGGCCATGGCAACTGCCTCTCCCACCTCCCATGCCTTTTCTGATTTTTTCTATTGTGCCTCAATACTATGCTGTCCCCAGGATTCCTGTTTGGACCTTTGAGCATCTGCCTTCTTAGGATATGGTTGTTTAGCTAGTTGATAATTGTTGATACAAAGATAATCATAATTTTTCAGAGACAAAAATCTATCTGAAAATGAAATATGATTAGTTTGACTTGAACTACTGTCAGTGACCTTAATTCCTAATAAACCCTCTGTCCTTTATGCATGTTCAAGAGAGAGATTTAATGCAGCATAAATGTCCTCATAAAAGCATATCTCTCTGTGAATAAAAAGCCAACATCCATAAAAGTGATTGTTAAAAAGATGGTGTTTACGGCAAAATCTAGCTACAAGTTTATCATTATGAAAGTAGGTTTATGGTGTCTAATTTTAGTATGACTGATCTGTTTTCTTTTAAATACCAGATTTCCTTCTCAGTCAAATATGAGATGAATCAAGGAGACGCATTTGTCCAGACAGATGTGAGTACCTTTTGCCTTGTTAAAATATTCATGCTATACCTTTAATTTTAAAATTGTCAGATGTAAATATAGTTGTGAAAATAGATATGCCATGTACTCTTACCCTGGCTTCCCATAGTACAGTGATGGCAACAGGAAATTAATGTTGATGTATGTAATCCTGTCAGTTAACCTGCATTATGTTTGGGTATTCCTCCATCTTTTTTTCAGATCTACACTGCTTTCAGCTGTCATATCTTCTGTGTGTCCTCTTCATGGTCATGATCCTTTGCGAGCATTTGTTAGTTAGCTTTTTTGGACATCAATTTGGGTTTTTTTGGTTTTTTTGTTTTTTTTTTTTTTTTTTTTTTTTTTTTTTTTGAAGTTTCCCATGGTTAAATTGAGTTTTGTAGTTTTAGTAGCGATGCCACAGGAGTGCATCAAGCCCTTCTCAATGCACGGGTCAGGTGTGTGTGTGTGTGTGTGTGTGTGTGTGTGTTTCTACCTTATTTTTAAGACAGTGTCTTCAGCTGAACTCACAGAGTTGGCGTGACTCTCTGGCCAGCAAGCTACAGGGATCCTCAGCCTCTACCCCTGCATCACTGGAACCACAGGCACATGCCCCATACTTTTTATGTGGCTGCTACATGGGTTCTGGGGACCCACAATAATGCCCTTGAGATGGTGCAGCAAGCGCTTGCTGACAGAGCGGTCTCCACAGCTGCTGCCCTCTGATGCTGGTGCCCACTGGTGATGCTTGCCTATAGACAGTATCACTGTGGTATTGGCTGGATGGCTTTTTATTTCCTTCATTTCTTTTGAATTTATAGATTGGAACTTTATTATAAGGCAGAACTTTCCTTTTGCCCTCCTTAACATTTATTCAATTATTTACTTAAGTCAACATACTCTCATTGATATTTAGTTTAGGTGATTTTATAAATCCATTACTATTCATTTTCTTGCACGGTTTTCCCCAAATTTAGCCACTGAAATTTCTTACAGCTTATCTCCATGTCTTTTCAACTGCTCCCCATCAACTTCTGAGCAACGTCACTTTCTATTTACAGTGGGTTTTAGGTGCAGTGAGAGCAACTATGCAAGTTCTAAAATGTTTGTTTTCTTTTCTAGATTGCGCTGGGCGTGTTGGGAGGGCTGGCTGTACTGTCATCTCTTTTGAAGACGGCAGGATGGAAGAGGCGCATTGGGAGCCCCATGATTGATTTACAGGTACATTGTTTCCCATAAGATATAGCTGGAAGATGAGTAAGAAGGTTGCCTTCGATTTTTCGGGAGTATAAGCTAAGAAAGTTATTTTGAGGTCACAGAACGTAGAATTTGGCTTTCTTCCCAGGGTCCCAAGGTCTGTCCACATTCCCACCTCCATTTTTATTTTTGTCTTTGTCAATGCTTGGTATCTTTAAACATTAACATATTTGTATCAGAGAGTGGCATATGTTAAGATGTCGTTGTTGACTTTATTTTTCTTTATATTTTTTTGTTATTCATATACTTTAAAAGTTTTATTTTATGTGTATGGTGTTTTGCTTGCATGTATACCTGTGAACTAAATACTTCCCTGTGCCCACAGACGCCAGAAGGGGCAGCAGATCTCCTGGAACTGGAGTTAGGGATGGTTGTGAGATGCCATGTGGATGCTGGGAATCGAGCATCTGGAAGAACAGTTGAGAAAGTTTTCTCAACCGCTAAACCATTTCTCCAGCCATTTCTATACTTTTTAAATGTTTAGGGTCCCTTTTAGGTGAACTATTAAGATCTCTTGTTCATTTTTCTACTAGGTTCCTTGCTTTTCTTATTTATATGAAAGAGCTTTTTTTTTTTTTCAAAATATTAATCTCCTTCTGGTTTTTCGTGTTGGAATCTTTTGTGCAAATTTATGAGCTACGTATTATTCATACCTTTAACATTCAATATATATTTAGCATTTAACATCTGGTTAATTTCCACAGTCACAAGAATTTTATGTGTGTTATATATATTATGTTCTTTTTGTTCAGGAAAACTTGCCCATCTCAATACCAAAAAAGATTTTACTTCATTAACTTTATAGTTTACTACTCATTTATTTTGAAATTAAAAAAATTTACCTAATAGTATTTGAATATTTACTGTGCACAGGCACATTTTTTAAGCTTTATATGTATGGTTTACTTAATCTTCATATAGCTCTATGTAGTTGGACATTATTTTTATTCCCATTTTATATATGATAAAAGTGAAATAGAGCTTAAATTTTCTGCTTTTTTTGGCAATAATTCAACAACCATGTTATCTCTGCTTTTCAAATCAAGAGCGTGAGAACAGTCCTGTAGTAATTTGTTTAGTCAGGGTGTCTCCTGACTCCAAAGCCATAGTGTTAAGGAGTAAGAGCCAAGGGCTTGTGCTCCTGTTTAAGAAGACCTTCCACTGAGGTAAACTTTAAACTGTTCATGCCACAGTGGCCACCAGGGTTCGGTTGTAGACTGCCAGGTACTGGGGAACATGACAGTAACGACTACAACAGATCCTGCCCTCAGAGCTCAAGAGGGGGAACAAGGACATTTGACAAAAGGGTAACAGTCGCTCTCCACAAAGCATTGGAGATGGAGCTGTCGAGTGGACAGCTGAGCGAGAGGTGGAAACTAGCATCTGAGCCGAGGAGCGAGTTGACTCTGGCCAATACTGTGAAGGATCTTGTGGGTCAAGAATTTAGTGAGTAGTCGTTGTACATTTTTAAGGGAAAAAGGTGACTTAATCTAATTTACATTTGAGAAAGCTCACTCTAGGGTCCAGAGATGTGTAGTTCAGTATATGCACAACACATAAAAATACCATATAATCATAACTGTGAAAATACAGAAGATAGATTTGGGTAGAGATTCCCAATGAAGGAAACTTGGAAGTAGTTTCCACTTCCTCTTAAAGTGGAAGAGAGATTCAGCAGTCACACAGTGGACCTTTGTAACTGGTAGGCTGTGGGTGTGAATGGCCAGTTATTAATAGTATTAGAGAGGCCCGGTGATTAAAAATGTACGCTCCTGCAGAGGACCCAACCTCAGTTCCCAGCATCCACACAGGGCAACTCACAGCCACCAGTACCTCAGTGACTCCACTTGCAGGGGACCTGACACCCTCTTCTGTGCTCTGCAAAATTCTAAAATAATAAAAATAAACAAATAAGAAGTAGTAATATTCATGGGCCAATAAAACAGCTCAGTGAAGTAAGGGCACTTGCCACACAAGCCATCAGACCTGGCCTCTGTTCCTGAAACCCACATAAAGGTAGAAGAGAACCAACTCCATAAAATTGTCCTCTGACTTCTAATTGCATCCCATGGTAGTCAATATTCGTGCACCCAGATCATGCAAACACACGGTAAGAAGAAAGTATTTTTATACTTTAAGTTCTTAAATAAAGTAGTACTTTCATTATTCTCATTTTATATATGATGAAAGTGAAGTAACATTTTCTGCTCAACTTTTCAGCAGAAATAAATGTAATAAGCAGGTAATAAATGGAATCTTTAATGGTTGTAATTATTTTTAAATTGCAGACAGTTATGAAATTCTTGGTGTACTATGCTGGCGATCTGGCCAATGTGTTTTTTATCGTCACAGTGGGAACCGGTCTCTATTGGCTTATTTTCTTCAAAGTGAGTGAACTCCTAAATGTAACCTAAATGCTTATATCTGAATAACTGGCAAGCTGATTTAATAGCAGAACACTTCTGGGGACATTTCTGTTCACGTTCAGGGCAGCTGCTAAGCTCCCCGCCCCCGTGTGTCATTTACTAAGGGTTGCCACTGTTTGCCACACTTATGCTTTCTTTGGTTGATGCACCGTGTCTTTTAGGCACAGAAGTCTGTCTCTGTTTTGCTGCCGATGCCAGTTCAGGAAGAACGTTTCGTTACTTATGTGGGGTGTGCCTTCGCTATGAAGGTACGTTTCAAAGGGCAGCTTGCTCAATTTCAAAGGCTTGCTAAGAAGCTCCTGAGTCTTTTAAGTTCAGATGCATTCATGATTTGTGATGAAATTTTTACATAGGAAATGTGCCTTCCTTTATCACATCTCATTTAAAGCTACACCTTAAGTCGTTTACTCAAAGAAGTTATAAATATGCCTGAGCAATCATGAATTGCAACTAATTTGATAAAATGATATTTTAATGTTTAACTTTTCCTTTAAAATCTGACAATGTGTTCACAATGGGACAAGATACCTTCCATGGTGGATTTTTGACTCTTTGTTAATGGACAGTAAAAGCCAACTCTGAGGAAATGCTGGAATTGTAGAAGCTGTTATTAGTCTGTGTTCCTCATCTTTCTGTGGCTACCACCCCTGCGTGGGTGCTCATCCATGCAGCTGCCAGCTCTTCACATGGCCTAGCCCCACTCACTGTGGGGAGTGAGCACCTGCTGCACCCACTGAGGACAGGTACCGTCCTCTGCCTAGATTTCCCCCTTTGATCAGTAATGCCCCGGGGATGAGGACTGAGTTTAAACCGTCCACTCCTGCAAAGGAGAGAGATGTGTTTCCACAGCACTCTGCTTCCATCTCAGTTTGAGATGGAAAAGACACATGGGCGTCTCCTCGTTCACGAGGATTTGCAGCTCACCTTACTCCTTACAAACTCAGATAATGAACAGAGCCTAGAGAGCCCAGGGAGCCATTTGAGCAAGGGCCCCATAAGGGAAGGGAAGAAGGACAGCCCTCTTCATGTTCCTATGGAAAGCACAGAAGGAAAAAGGATTAGTAGGTGTGTGACAGTTCTGTACTCTTGGTGATTCAGAGTATATGATGAATGCTTGTGATTACGCTGTGCTTTGAAAAGAATTGTGTACATTTGTAATTAGTCTTAAATACTGATACTTTTCAGGTGTTTTGTTGTATGTTATTTTTAGGCTCTACAATTTTTGCATAAATTCATATCCCAGATTACCATAGATATTTTCTTTATTGATTGGGAGCGGCCTAAAGGAAAAGTTCTTAAAGCTGTTGAAGGTAACGGAAGTCAGTGTTTGTACCAAAATTCTTCTGCTGCCTTGCAGAGCAAGGGGGAAAAGCCTTCACTCATTTCTTCTCCCTCCCCAGGTGAGGGCGGTGTCCGGAGTGCCACTGTTCCTGTGAGCATATGGAGGACATACTTTGTAGCAAATGAATGGAATGAGATTCAGACTGTGCGAAAAATTAATCCTCTCTTTCAAGTGCTTGCCACACTCTTCTTTTTGGAGGTATAACCTGTGTGATATAGTCATGTGATACAACTGAATGCGGCTTCTTATTAGCTCCTCACAAGTGTTACTATAACCTCAGCATTGTCCTGTGGTGAAATATTGTCAACACAGTATAAGGGAATGTCTTTTACTTTTCCCTTTTATCCTCCCTATAAAGCAAACGAAAGCAAAAACGTAACTAAGTTGTGAAGAAACACGTGGAAGGTTTATCATCTGAACCCCTCCCCCGTCACCACCATACCCCTCTTCCCTGCATCCCCCCCCTCACCCTACACACACACACACACACACACACACACACACACACACCCCACTTCTGTTTGTGTCTCCATGAACTCTGGGATTTTAAGGAGTAGCTTTTGTATGAGTGGTCTGTGGCACAGTTCCCTGATGAGCTTGTATACCCATGTACAGTATCCTTACAGATTACTATTGGTAGCTTTTAGGTAATGTATGTCTTCAAATATCTCCCTTCTGTATGATCCATATTCCCACCCCTGCCTTAGAAGCAACCGCTACTGTCTGCTTGCTACATCCCCACTGCTTGGGAATCGAGGTGTAAGGGAATCGAGGTCAAGGCCTGCCTGGGCTTCAGAGTAAGTTCAAGGCTAGCCTGAACAACTTAGCAAGACCTTGTCTCCAAGTAGTTATAGGAAGGAGTCTAGGGTGGTGGCGCACAGGAGACTGTAGCTCAGTAACAGAGCAGTTACTCAGCATCCATGAACCCCTAAGTTATTCTCCAGCATATCTCCTGTACACAAATTATATGCTTTTAGTGTGCAGCATGGTTTACAATATACATATATATTGTGGAATGGCTGGATTTAGAAACCAATCAACACTTCTATTCCCTCATATACTTACTTTTTGGCAAAGCAGTGTTGGTTTTTAATACTGTTTGATGAAGCCAGGTGTGGCAATACAGGACACCCCCAACTCACTGAAGGTGGAGGCTGGAGGACCAAGAATTCAAGGTCATGTACATAGAAAGTTCCAACCTAGCCTAGGCTAAGGTTGCTTCAAACCCCAAAGAAGTTAAAAGGATTTGAATGTCTGATGAACTTGAAAAGGTATTATATGTTTCTGCAGTTAACTTTGCAAGCACTAGAGTAAATACAATTGTATAGACACCTTACTGTAAAAATTCTCAGAGCCTTTGTTTTATAAGGAGAAGAGACATGGCAGTCAGTGTGATGTACCCATCAAATACCCATGGAACTTACTGAACTATGGCTTCATTTCACACAAGGAAGTATATTCCTTGGAATGTATTTTGGAATGTATTGTTTTGAAATACAGAAAGTACTTAATGTAGCCCCCTGGCACATGTTAAATATTCACAAGTTGCTAGTTTAACTTATTGGTAGCTTTAAGTTTTTAATTTGTGTCCAGGTTTTCCTATTGTTTGCAAGCTTGGGTATTTTGGTTTTTCAAGGTGAATAGAGGTGAGTATTTCATTTGCAGTCTGGAAGAGTTGTCTTTGCCTATGTTTGTTTAAATTCCCATTTCTCCTTTTCCTTCAGGTTGTGGGGTTCAAACACTTAGCATTAATGGATCCCTCCTCTAGCCTTTCTAGAAACATGTCTGACTACATAGCTCCTTACAGCCGCATTTTGAGATATGCTGTGGCTACTGCTATCTGGCTGGTGATTGGAATGATACAGGTAACAAGAGATTGTGCTGTGACATTGCCCGTTTATAAACCTGCTTTTGTACTAATGTCTCTCTAATGCTGCGTTCTACAGCATTAGACAAAGGCAATAATAACAGCTATTTATAGTGTATCGTAGTCCAGGCACGAAAATCAATAATTGCCTTACACACATTAACTGCGCAGTCTGTTCTTCACCCTTTGGGGATGGGTTAAGTAGTGTTCTCACATTACGAGACAGAAACTCGAGGCTCTGGAGGAGTAATTGGTTGGGTAAAAAAAAAAAAAAAAATCACAGTTGCCAGTGCTGAGATTTGAACCCAGGCAGTTTGGTTTCAGAGTTCACTCTGGAGGGTCTTTCGTAGATACAGACCCAAGGCAGACTAGTTTATATGTAACTAAGGGGTCAGATGTGCTACTATACTTTGGGTACTTTCTTTTTCTTGCTCTTTGCATTTATTTAGACCGCGTTTTCTTTACCTATGTCGGTTTAAATTATAATTTTCCTTTGGAATGGATTCAAGTGGCATTCCATCACCTGAGAATCGACTTTACCCCGGAGCTGGGAATTGAACACAGGGCCTTACCTGTACCAGGCGCATGCTCTGCCACTTGAACTGTGCCTGTTCCCAGCCTGAGAACTGACTTTTGGAATGTACACCTTTCTTGCATGGGTGACAGTGTTCAAACTTGAAGCTACAGAGCTGGGCTAATGAGAGTTAGTGAATGACCACTGGGAGAGAAGGACACACAAAGATGGAATTTGAAACATTGCCCATTTCATTACGTGTAACAACAAAGCAAAGCAGGAGTGTTGGGGGAAGTCATTCCCTTCCCTTCCACCCCTTCTCATGACAAAAAAGAGAAGCAGTCAGCAGCACAGGTGAAGAGGAGGCTTGGAGTTGTCATCAGGACCCGGGGGGTGGGGGGTGGTGGCTGGAGCCTCCATCCCTGAGTTCATCTCCTGGTCCATAAGTCTGGCTTTTCTGTCCCTTTTTTAAGTCTTGGGGCTGGAGAAATGACTCTGTTAAGAGTGTGCTACTCTTGTTCTGTTACTGTGACATACAGCAATGACAAAAACTACTGGGGGAGGAAAGGATGTATTGGATTTATGAATGGCATTGCCCAAGGTAGCTAGACTCCCCTACATCAATTAATAGTCAAGACAGTCCCCAACAGACATGCCTGAAGGAGGGCCAGTCTGTCTGCAACTGAGAAGTCCCCCAACTGCAACTCCCTTCTCAGGTGACAAGGCCATATCAAGTTAGTGATTGAAAGCAATTAGAACAGCACTGGGTACTCTTACAGGGGTCCACATTTGGTTCCAAACATGCAAATTGTGTGGCTCGCAACCTATGTAACAGCAGCTCTAGAGGATCCAGTGGCCTCTCTGACCTCTGTAGACACCTGTCTGCATATGTACATGCATGCATGTATGTATGTATGTATGTATGTATGTATGTATGTGTGTGTGTATACACCAGCAGACACACACACTTAAAGTAAAATCTTTTTTAAAGAAGAGTCTTGTATTCAGTATCTTTGGGAATCGAACTTAGTCATGTGTCCACACCTACCTGTGCTGATGCCCTTCGGTTAGGCCTGTGTGTCCTGCCCAAAGGACAGGTCTGTAGCTAAGAAGCACAGGGGAGGGGCTTAGGACAGGGCTGGCAGTCTTGTCACCACCTAACCTCATTCTGTGCTCCCGCTTTGCCTCAGAAAGCGCTCCTCAGATCCCTTCTCACATAGCCTGTGCCTCCCTGTGCTGTTACAGCTTTACCCGTGCATCTCACCTCTGCGGCGGACAGTAGTCAGGCTGTAGTGTCCGCCTCTCTCACACGCCTAAACCTCGACTGTTGGTACCGTCGTGAGCTTTAAGAATGTGTGTGTGTGTGTGTGTGTGTGCGTGCGTGTATATCTGTGCATCTGTGTGCATGTTCTTGTACGTGTGTGTCTGTGTGTATATGTAAGTATGTGTGTATATGCTCGTGCATGTGTGTACGTGTGTTTGTGTGTGCGTTTGTGTGTGTGTGCATGTGATTGTGTCTGTGTGTATGTGTGTGCATGTGCTCGTGCATGTGTGTGCGTGTTTGTGTGTGCATGTGTGTTTGTGTGTGTGCATGTGTTTGTGTCTATGTGTGTGTATGTGTGTGCATGTGCTCGTGCATGTGTGTACGTGTGTTTGTGTGTGCATGTGTGTGTTTGTGTGTGTGTGCATGTGTTCGTGTCTATGTGTGTGTATGTGTGTGCATGTGTGTATGTGTGCATGTGTGTATGTCTGTATGTGTCTGCATGTTTGTGCATGTGTGTGTCTATGTGTGTATGTAAGTGTGTACATGTGCTTGTGCTTGTGTGTACATGTGTGTGTTTGTGTGTACTCATGCATGTGCGTGTGCTCATGCATGTGTGTCTGTGTGTATGTGTGTGTGTGCTTGCATGTGTGTGTGTGCATGTGTGCGTATTGTTGCTATTGTTGTCACTACTGTTTGGTCATTTGGTGCAGTTTAAGGACATACTATAAATGGGCTGCTCTAGAGTCTCTAATCAGTTCTTGGACTTAAGCATGGCGTATATAATGGACATTGTGTTGAGTCCATAGGAAAGCTCTAGCACAAGCTGACTAGGGAGTGTGAAGAATGCTGTGAAGATATTTATAGGAATATGAGATCATCAGTCAACAGAGTGGAATAGAGGTCGGCATAGGGGCAGTGGGGGGCAGCTCTAAATAGTGCAGTTAGGAAATGTGTTCCTCCGAAACATATCTAGAAAGGTCTGTAATTGAAACTTGAATTTACAATGTCCTTTCCTAGTATTTGCTATTAAATCTATATAATTAGACACTTAAAAGCATTTCAGTAGTTATTATCAATAGTTAAAATTTAATGCTAAAATGTTTTTAGATGTTATTCTGTTCAAGATTAATTTGAAATCCATGATGTTCTTAAATGGCTTCTGTACTTCAAAACATGAGCAAAGTTACAAATCTAGTCATTTGTCTTGGCAACCAGTACATTGATTTATTCAAATGTGTGAGCGGGTTATGTACATACATGTTTGTATAAGTGTGTGCACATGTACATGTAGTTGTACATGTGTGTACATGTGTGTAAGCCAGATATCAACATGCAGTGTCTCCTTCAGTTAGTCCACTGTACTCTTGGAGGGTCTCGCAGTGAGTCAGGGTCCCACCCGTCTCCACCCCTCATGCTAAGGTTTGCTGCGGCCTTCACACCAGGCTCTGAGGTTACCTGCGGCCTCCACACAAGGCTTCTGGTGTGGCTGCTGGGGATCCAAACTCAGGTCCTCAGGCATGTGCAGCAAGCCCTTATATACTGAGTCCTCTTTCCAACACTAATCTATACTAAATTTGTAAGACTCCTCCTGCCTTTATCTTTCCTGGTTTCATTAGCAAGATAAGTTTTTAAAATTCAAAATGGACTCCCTCAGTAACTCTTAATGTAATTCTAAATCGCCCTTCCTTTGAGGATAGAGTCAGACTGATAAGTGGGATTTTATCCCATGGGAACCTTTGGAGGCCACTGCATTCTCTTTGGAGCTTCATTTTGCCCCCAAACACTGCATCATGGTTATTAAAGAAGATGGCGCTCCTGAAGGCAGACGCTCACAGGCTCACAGGCTAACTTACTGTTGCAGGTTTTCTTCTTCGCTGCCTTTTATGAGCGATTCATAGAAGACAAAATCCGGCAGTTCGTTGATCTCTGCTCCATGAGTAATGTGAGTACCTTCTGACACCATTTGCAGCTGTTATTTCCGCACTCTGAAAAGACAGCTGTGTTTAGAGCAGCATTTCACATGCATCCATGCGGTTCACAAAGCAGGCCTATAGCAGCTTAACAAGTTGGTTTGTGATGGTTGGATTATTAACCTAATTTTCAGCCAGCTATTAATCAAAGAGTAGTTAAGACATTCCACAAGTTAATACTCTTGCCTTAGAATTTCTCTTCTTTATCCACAGTCCTTAATTATGAATAATGAATGATTCATTCATCGTACAGTCTTCCTTTCTTAGAAAACAGCTCCGGTCTTGTTTCCATCTAGTAAAATAAACCTTTATCATCTTCACTACCTTGCTTTCTATTTCATGTACTTCCTGAGAATTTAGTGCTTATTATTTTGGGGAAAGGGGAGCAGTTTTAATCAAAACGTACTGTTGTAGTTTTCTGGATGAGCCTCTGATTGCTTCTCTTTCTGTAGGTGTCTGTGTTTCTGCTGTCCCATAGATGTTTTGGGTATTACATTCATGGGAGGTCAGTCCATGGACATGCAGACACCAACATGGAAGAGATGAATATGAATCTCAAAAGAGAAACGGTAAGAAAGCATTCTACATCTTCTCTATTTTAAAATGGAGACTTGAAATGCTTGCAGCTGACTTCAAAGGAGCCAGGGACACCCGCTCGTGACCCTGAGTATTAATAGTCACACTTCGCTTCGTCCTGTAGTTTCTGTGTGAACTACACTTCAGAGTAATCAAATAGAGCAGGAAGGTTCCTCCTCAGCAGGGAAGAAACTGGGTGTTTATGTTAGGAAGTCAGCATTTTACAATGATTACAGATGAGTGAGATTGTGCTGCGTGTAGTGGATGTTAAAACAAGTGCCCGCCAGGGGCACTGCTAATGAAGGGTCAGGGTACCATACTCGGGACACACTGACTCCTCCTCAGTGAGTTACAAATGAGGCAAGCCGACATTGTACACTTCCTGACAGGAAGTGAAAAAGGAGCCTGCTGTACCCAGGTCTCTAGATCTAATCACAGTTTTATAGGAAATAACGAAGACTACAAGAACAACTTCAACAGCACTGAAGGAAGTCCTTAGCAGATCCAGTGCATAATGCCAGGGAACAAATGACTTGAGCGCTTTCAAACAAACCACCGGCGTGAGTGGAAAGAAGAGGAAATGGTGTGTGTGAGAGATGCTGTGGACTGAGGGAAGCCTCAGAAGCAAAGCAATGAAGCTCAAGATGCCGACTTTGGATCCTGGTTCAGTCTTTGGAAAAAATCTGATTTCATGGTTGTGACGTTAACGTTTATTAAGCAAAAAATGACAATGGTGGTTGTTTTATTAAGTCCTGTTTTTTTTCTATTGTATACCCTGATAACTTCCCAAAACAAAAAACAAAACAAAACAAAAAAATCTAGGAACACTTGAGAAGAAAGCCTTAGGGGCTCCTGAATTTGGAGAACTCTCTTAGCGCTTACAAATTAAACCATAAGCCCCTGAGGGGAAAAAAATATGCCCAACTAAGGAATTAAGCACAACAAATAGAAAGCCATAAGAATCGAGTAGAAATTGATTTTACTTTAGTAACATAGTACATACATATCAGTCATAAATAAAAGCAAATTTGGGTAAAGTGTTTATGACAAATGTGATAGCACTATTGATATCCAAAACCATGGCTTTCCCTCTTCGACTTACTGTACCTTTTTGAATCTAATGGCAATAACACTAAAGAATGGGCCCTCATAAAAACAGTTGTTATCAGGAAAAGCTTTTACAAATGGAAAATGTTTTGAGTAATATATGCCAGGAACCTCCCAGGACTTCCTAGTCTCTGACTGGTTATATGGATTTAACTCAAGAAAAATTCAAAAGATGAATAACTAATTAGATTTTTTTTCTTTTATTTTTTGGGGTTTTTTGAGACAGGGTTTCTCTGTGTAATATTCCTAGCTGTCCTGGAACTCACTCTGCAGACCAGGCTGGCCTTGAACTCACAGAGATCCACCTGCCTCTGCCTCTGCCTCCCGAGTGTTGGGATTAAAGGCATGCACCATCACCACCTAGGTAGACTGTAGATTTTTAACACAAGGAGAAAACATGTAAGAGTTGGAGATTACTATGTAAGTCGGTTTATCTTCATAGTAAAATCTCTGAAGTAGGTGCTCGAGTATTTTCTATTAGAATGGGAGGCCAGGGTGGTGCCATGGAAGGCTGAGGTGTGTGGTTCGTAGGCCCACGATGACTGTCATGGCAGACAGTGAGGACAGTATGAGCAAAATTGCACGAGGTTAATCAGTCCTGTGACATGTGATACTGACTAGAGAGAAGTGACATGCTTTTCTTTTTTCGAGAAGGCCTTTCATAATCATTTCTGTCCTTCAACTTTTTCAGGAAAATTTGTGCAGCCAAAGAGGTTTGGTGCCCAACACAGATGGTCAGACTTTTCAGATTGCAGTTTCTGATCAGATGAGACAACACTATGACAGGATTCATGAAACTCTAACACGGGTTTGTATAAAGGACTGTTCACATGTAGCTTACAATACTTAAGGTCATTTAAATTCCAAAGCATAAAGTGTGTTATATTTGTACACTTCTCTTTTTCATATTAGAGAAATGGGCCTGCCAGACTACTGAGTTCATCAGCCAGCACCTTTGAACAAAGTATAAAAGCATACCACGCAATGAATAAGTTTCTTGGCTCCTTCATTGATCATGTATGTATGTGTACTAATGTCTGTATGTAAGCAAGATCATGTATGTGTACTAATGTCTTTGTGTAAGCAAAGGTCATCTGCTTTTGAAAAGTTAAATGGGAATTCAGTTATGTTTTCAATCAGCAAAGTCAGGGAACCTCTTACTGTTTTTGTTTTCTGTCTCATTAATACTTGGGAATAATATTTTTTTAAAAATGTATAGTCACTATCAATTTATGGTTTAGAGATAAAGCTAGATATTGTAAAAGAAAGATGTGAATCCAATGTGCCCAGTAGCAAATGATGATTCTCTTAAATATGCCTGTACTAGAATTTTATATCACCAAAATGTTTTTATTACTCATTGGCATTCTTACACTGTGATTGTATTCTTAAAAGCATCTTATAAATCAATTTTCAGTATATCTATCCTTAAATATATCCACAGAATTTAAGATTTAAAACTTTTCTAAAAATATTTTTTATTATAAAGACTAGTGCCATGATTCATTTTACAGAAGTTTTTCTTTGTACATTATTCATTCCTCATTTTCTTCTTTTTCTAGTTTTGCATTAACTGGACATTTATTGTTTGTTTCATTACACTTTTTTACGTGGCTGTCTTCTCAAACCAGGTTCATAAGGAAATGGATTACTTTATAAAAGACAAGCTGCTGCTCGAGAGGGTCCTGGGGATAGAATTCATGGAGCCCATGGAGAAGAGCATCTTCTACAACGGTGACCCCTGTGGCCTTGATGGACCCGAGCCCCATTTGGGGGGGGGGGGTGACGGTGCTTGAGATAGGTTTTTTCATTGATTTTAGTAATTTTATGTAGAAGCAATGAGGACTTTGTTAACTCAGCCTCATAGAACTATAGTCATTTCTATGTTCCGTTTTATTTTGAAATATAACAAAAATATCAGATATATAAAAGGCTGAATGAAAGCAAAAAGGCCAAGTTTCAGAATTAATGGTATCTCAGATAGTAAAACAAACACAGCATATTCATTTAATGCTACTCTGGGGCACCAGAGTTTAAAAAAAAAAAAAAAAGAAAAGAAATGAGCCAGTCTTTGAGAATAAAGATTCAGACTCTTCTGTCCTTAGGTTTAAAAGCCAACTTGACACTTGCTAACTTTGTGAAGTTTAAAATGCTGCGTAACCTTCAACTTTTGAAGTCCCCTTTTGTCTAAAGTTAGTATGGCCTTTGAAAGGTTTTTCAGAATAATCATGTATAAAGACCCTAAAGCAGAGAATGAGTAGGTGCCAGGAGAGGGGTGTGGGTAGGTCCTGAGGGAGGGGTGTGGGTAGGGGCCGGGGGAGGGGCGAGGGAGGGCTGTCTAAAAGTACAATTGTTTCCACACGTTCGTCCTGTTCCTTTTTCTTTCTTTCTTCTGTTTCCATTCCTTTTTCTGCCTTCCATTTCTCTGCTCAGCCCTCACCAGGAGAGGACAATAAGTTTAAGGCAGTAGGAGTGGACACAAAGAAGGCGAGGGTTTACCAGAGATGTTAGGAGAAAAGGGCACTAGGAAAGGAAACTCAGACAAAGCCAGGCATGGTACATCCTACCATTCCATCAACTCAGAAGGCTGAGGCAAGACCTCAGGTTCCAGGTCAGCCTGATGAGAGCTCATCAGTAAAGAAGAAAGGAGGCGAGGAGTTGGTTGGGTGTGCATGAGGGCCTGAGTTTGGACCAGCAGTACCTGTTAAAAGCTGGGCCATGACCACATTGCATGTCTGCAATCTCACTGCTACAGCGGGGTGATGGGGCATAGGGGTATGGGGCTTACTAGCTGCCAGCCTAGCTCTAACTTCAATGAGAGACCCTGTCCCAAAGGTGTAAGGCAGAGAGTGGAACACCTGATGTCTTCCTCCAGCATCCACATGCATCGTAGTCATGCACAGGCATATGTACTCCCACATACATGTGCATATAACACACACATGCATGCACACACATGCACGCATGCACACATGCACATGCACACAGACACACACACACCACTACTTTCTTCATCATCACCACTACCCACAACAAATTAAAAAGAAGAGGAAAGGAAGACAAAAAGTATCCAGGTTTCCAGCTATGATTCCAACTTAGTGAATGATAGCGATGCTCTTCCCTACTCAGGGAATGCAGATGAGGAAAGAGAATGAGACTGTGTTGTATCTGAAGGTAACTTCAGACATCTAGGAAGAGATGTCTATTAAGGAACTCTAAGGGAGAAGCTTTTGGGAGAAAGAAGGTGTACAGTTAGCTAGGGGGCCATCCTATGGTGCCATTGCTAGAAGAGATAGCAGTCACCAGGCAAATATGTAAGCTTAGGGTGTTTTGTTTTGCTTATATATAAGCATTGCATGCCTACACATATGTAGAGAAGTGCGTAAGGGTATTGCTGACAGGTCAGTGGATTTCACAAACAGAATCATCCTTGTTCCAGCACCTGGAACATGGTGGAATGGTCCCAGTACCCTGATGCCGCCACCTTGTATAAGACAGACTCCTCACTGGACTTCTGTGGAGGTGCTGGTCATTCTCTGAGCCCCCTACAAATTGATGATAGCATTTGCTTATGTCTACTTGATTTTTTGTTTGTTTTCATGGTAAAGGGGTCTGTGCCACTTATCGGGTCTTTTAAAAGGATGCTCAGATCCCACAAAGGACAGAATTGTATGTTTTGTGCAGAGGACAAAACTAGGAAACCGAGACAGAAGTTCTAGAACACTTGTGCTATGCCTTGCTGGCTTTAACTTTTGTTCTTTATCTTGGACAATATTTCTAAGATTAATTTAGTCTTTGGTTCTATAATCAGAGAAAGAGAATTCACTAACTGCTCTTTAGAAGGCATTCATAGTGTACTACCAGCAATTATCAATGTTTGCTTTGATATTAAAACTGCTGCTCCTGAGTTTTTCTGAGTTCTTCGACTAACATTTGAGTCTGGCAAATCTTAATACCTTAATCTTAATCACATGAGCCGTAAAGCATAGGATATTTAATCTACTGTCACCAAAGGCTGGCACAGGTCTGTGCTGTCACTGTCTGACACATCTACGTGGTTTTTTGTAGACGAAGGCCATTCTTTCAGCAGTGTTCTGTATTATGGAAATGAGGCCACGCTCCTTATCTTTGATCTGTTGTTCTTCTGTGTTGTGGACTTGGCTTGCCAGAATTTCGTCTTAGCATCCTTCCTCACATACCTGCAACAAGAGGTAAATCTAAATGCATTTAGAAGAAATGGGTTTCTTCTAAAGCACAAGTGTTGCAAGTGTAGATGTTTACCTTCTTAACAGAATGTGTGAGCCTCTATGTACAGTAGGGTTGGGGGAATGTTTAGGATATGACTAACCCTACCAAAGAAATGAAAAAAAGCATTTAGCAGAGCACACTCTGCACTCTGTCCCTGGGACAATAAATGCTAGGATCCAGGGAAGGGTGCAAGTTCCTTGAGCAACCAGGAAGATAGGGAAGATACTTTACTGCCGCTCTCACACATACCAAAAGTGAGCACTGATTTTTATACGAGTCCCATCCAAACAATGGGAGGTGCCATTCGGGGGTGTACACCAGTTCATACAGCCTCACCTGTGTGCACAGTGAGTACCTGTGTGGTAAAACATCTGAAGTGGACATTTCAACAAATGCCAACTGTGCTTGAAATTATCATTAGCACCTAAAGACCCTCCTGCATAAAAGAAGGCATGAGTTAATACATGGTTTATCCCTGAATAGAGACCCAGAATCATGAACAACAACAACAAAAAAAATCCTTAAGTATTTAAAGGCATATTCTCTTTTTAAATTTATTTTTAATTAAAATTAAAACCAAAGGTATATTCTTGTGAGCCTGAGCGGTACATATTAATTCATAAATGCATTTCCTAATGTTTTATAGTTTTAAAATGATTGCATCAAGTAATTAAAATATCTCACTCATGACAAGAAATGGTTGAGAAAATTAACTAATTTAATTTAAATATTTTAAATTTATAAGCATATTTAATTTTTAAAGAGTATTTAATTTCCTTCTCATCTGTTTTATTTTTCCAGATTTTTCGATTTATCCGCAATACAGTAGGACAAAAGAATTTGGCAACCAAAACACTAGTGGATGAAAGATTTCTCATCTAATCTGTGACTGCAAAACTTGTGGTACAGCCGTGATGTCAAGTTATATTTTTTAAAACTTGTGATACATATTATTCTTTCATTTTTTTTATCTACAGAAAAACTTATTTTTATAGCTCGTTTTTAAAATAAGAGATATAGTTAAAGATACTGTTTTCCCATTGTATGTTGTATTTAATTTACTAAAAAGTACTATTTCCCCATTATGTATTGTGTTTAATTTACATTAACGCTGACATAGAAAAAGATGAAAGGAAGAAAGGAGGGAGGGGGAAGGAAGGAGGGAAGGAGGGAGGAAGGGAGGAAGGAGAGAAGAGGAAGAAGGGAGGAGGGAGGGAGGAGAGAGGGAGGAGAGAGGGGGAGGGAGGGAAGGGAGGAAGGAGGGAGGGAGGGAAGGGAGGAAGGAGGGAGGGAGGGAAGGGAGGAAGGAGGGAGGGAGGGAGGAAGGGAGGGAGGGAGGAAGGAGGGAAGGAGGGAGGAAGGGAGGAAGGAGAGAGGGAGGAGGGAGGGAGGGAAGAGAGGGAGGAGGGAGGGAGGGAAGGGAGGAAGGAGGGAGGGAGGGAAGGGAGGAAGGAGGGAGGGAGGGAAGGGAGGGCGGGAAACAGGAGCCAGGTGCTGCTTGCCATGCTCAGGCCTTGATGGTAAGCTAGTCTCCATCTCTGTCACCCTTTCAGAACTGATCTGCCTACATTTCCCACAGTTACAATTCTGTTTGAGTCTAGGTTCAAAGCTACTATTCAGTATTTGCTTGTTTTGTTTATGATTATGGTTAAATAAATAGATATTTTCAAATGTACTTAAATTTTTGGTTTGTGTTGTTGCTGACTCAGCATGCTTCCTTCTGGTAAGTCGCCTCTTTGTCAGCACGCAGGGCTCTATTAGACATGGGATGATTTGGTACAAATCCAGTCAGTCCATCATGAACCTCTCGTCATTACATTTATAAGCTGGGTGACTTTTTTCTCAATATAGGATTTTCCCACACATTTTAATAAAGAGTGCTCTTTCAAAGTGTTGCTTTTAAGTTATGAGTAAATACTATAAATACCAGACTATAACTATATCATGTTATATTGACCAATTTATTGAAAGCAAATTTAGGATTCATATGTCAATAGCTTAAATTTTTTGGTTTGTTTTGCTTTCTTTTTCTTTTTGGACATAGGGTTTCTCTGTGAGGTCCTGGCTATCCTGGCACTCACTCTGTAGACCTGGCTGGCCTGGAACTCAGAGATCCACCTGCCTCTGCCTCCCAAGTGCTTGGATTAAAGATGACACCACCATCACCTGGCCTAGTAACTTATTGTTTAATAAGGGAAAAATTGAATTCAAAATACCATTGAAGTAACATGGTGGTGGCTCATGCATTAATCCCAGCACGCAGAAGGCAGAGACAGGCAAGTTCGAGGCCAGCCTGGTCTACAAAGTGAGTTCCAGGACAGCCAGGGCTGCACAGAGAAACCCTGTGATCAAAAACAAACAAACAAACAAACAAAACAACAAAAAAGCCCTAAGCCATATAGTTAAAATCCACTGGGAATTAATTTTGTGTGTATTTAGTGCCTTGGTGCAATCCTGTGCTCCTGTCTCACAGTGTGGAAGCCATTGGTCTCCGCCCCACGTTAAGTCCCTGGAGACCCTGGCTGGGTCTTCTACCCCGTCCCTTCACACTGAAGCAGGCCCTGGAGGGGCTCCTGGGAGCTGTGGTGTACTTTGTATCATCCTTAGAAATGGGCAGTCCCCAAAATACCTGTGTAAACAGGCTGCTGCTATTGGAGGAGGCCACACTGGGGACCTGAATTCACCATGACTTTTAACTCAAACACTTTTAAGCAGGAAGCTGGTGCCTTTTTCCTGTGTGTATATATTGACCAGTATCTTCTCGGGCAGAGTAAATGGAAGTCAGAGCAGTAAGCAGAATGGCTTAATGAAGATGTACCCGGTTTACCAGAAGCAGCTGTGGATTCAAACGAGGGTTTTCCCTCACCCCCTCACTGTGAAAAACACTACATCTTTACCAGAAAGACTATCCTTTCCTCACCACGTGGGGTGTCCCAAAGATTTGGATATTAAGATACTGACTTACATTAAAATATGCTTACAACAGGGGCCTGGGGTGTAACTCAATGGTAGTTAGGGTTCTCTAGGGAAACAGGACTTACATACAGAATGTGTGTGTGTGTGTGTGTGTGTGTGTGTGTGTGTGTGTGTGTGTGTGTGTGTTGAATATAGAGAAAGGGTTATTAACATGTTTTACAGCAAGTCCAGCTTGTCCAGAAATGGTCCAAGAACCCGGTAGTTGTTCATTACACAAGTCTGGATGTCTTAGCTGGTCTTCAGCGAAGAATCAGCTCTAATGCTAGTAAATACATGGGCTTGCTAGTGGGACTGAGAGCCTAAGCAAGCAGGCAAGGGAGTGCCAGGCTCCTTGCTCCTTTCTGTAGCTGCCCGCCTAACATGTGGTCCAGATTAAAGGCGGATCTTCCTACCTCAAGATACAGGTTAGAAGGGGGTCTTCACACTTCAAATGATTTAGTTAGGAAAAAGCCCTCACAGGTGTGCACAACCCTGTAGGCTTCATTTATTCCAGATGTAGTCAAGTTGACAATCAAGACGAGGCATCACACCTAACATGCATGACATCCCGGGTCTGGTCCCCAGCACTACACACACAAAGCAAAATCTTAAAATAGCATCTGAATGTTGAAGCTCTTAATTTTAGCAATAATAGTTATTATTAGCTTAAAGTCTCTCGAAATGCATGTTCCGTCTTGCTAATGAATGAATCCTGTGACACTGAAACTCAGATTAATGGTCTCGGTGACTGTGATGAAGATGATGAAGATGTTGAGCCTTCGCCAGCCAGTGCGGCCTCACCCCAAGGCTCCAGCAGTGGGGCTCATGGCACAAGGTGAAGGGTAGCAAGAAAGAAGCTCTCACCATCCAGTGCTGGAGATCTGGCTCATGATACAGAGCAGAGCAAAGGAGGGGGTGTGGGATACTCTATCATTGATAACAAGGATTTCTTTCATTCGCTCATTCATTCATTCATTCATTCACAAAAACACCTCTCCTTACTTCCTAAGCCTTCATAAGGTTCTTATCACTGATAGAGGGAGGGGGGATATTAACCAGTAGGTACAGTTGTAGCCACAGGGATATAACTTAAAACGTATTAACTATGCCTCTGGATCATCGGGGCTTCAGCCTCCTACAAGGCATGTTTGGGATGAGAGTTTAAGATAGACCAAAGTCAAGTACATCCAAAACAAGAAGCTAGTATATTCATATGAAGCATGTAGTTATTTGGGGTGGCACAGGTAATTTGAATAGAATACACATCTTCTGTATTTTTTTTTTATTATGCTCTGATGTTTTAGCATCTTAATCTTTCTTGTTGGGAGATTCTGCTCCTTCTGCAGCCAATGCTTAGAACTAGTGAGGTTAGGTAGAAGTGTGCCTGGAGTACAATATACCAACTAATTCATCCTTAGCCCCTCCTCAAGGGGTAACTGTCCTCTGCCTTGATCATCCCAGGGCCACAGAACAAGATGATCACCCAGCTGGCTTAGAACTCTGAAATCACTCAAGCTGCTTTCCCAAACCAATCATCCTGCCTTGGGTTGCCTTTTTCTTAGATCCCCCCCCCACTGTGTTCTTCTGACTGGTACTTTCATTCAACCCTACACTGCACCTTCTGTTTCTAGAAAGTGATAGAATGTTCAAGTATTACTGTATTAGTTAGGGTTTCTATTGCTGTGAAGAGACACCATGACCACAGCAATTCTTATAAAGGAAAACATTCAATTCAGGTGGCTTATAGTTTCAGAGATTTAATCCATTACCATCATGGTAGAGCATGGCATCATGCAGGCAGACATGGTGCTGGAGAAGGATCTGAGAGTCCTACATCTTGATCCAAAGGTAATAAGAAGTGAATTGTGTCACTGGTCACAGCTTGAGCATAGGAGACCTCAAAGCCCACCTCCATAATGACACACTTCCTCCAACAAGCCCATACCTACTCCAACCAAGCCACACCTCCAATAGTGCCATTCCCTGTGAGGTTATGGGGACCAATTACATTCACACTACCACAGCTACCCTCACAGCTCTTGGCTGTCTATCACACAAGGGAACACAGAACAGTCCATTTGGGGGGGGTGGGAAGAAGATGGGATTGAAAAGCATTGTCATGTCATTAAAAATCCCCACACCAAGCTGAATCTCAATCTCGTAGAGCTTAGCCAAGCTAAGTTTCCTAGCTGCTTTGGATATGAACTGTGACCTGTGTGCTGAAATCTTGGTTCTCTGGCATTGATGCTAATGAGAGGTGACGGGATCATGCAAGTCTTAACTTCTCAGTGGCTTCACCCACTGAATTCATATGAGTGGGTTATCAGGAGGGTCTTTAGGAGTGTGCCCCTGAAGGGTCCTCAGCCTCTTCCTGTCTCAGCTTTCCGGCTGCCCTGAGGTGAACAGCTTTATAGCATAGCATGCCTCCCAAACAGTCATTCCAGTCAACTGTGAAATAGCATCTCAGAAATTGGACTCAATCCATCTTTCCTCTGAGTTTTCAGATATTTTTGCATGGTGACTGAAACTACCACACTTTTCCTACATTCAAGTAGACATATTGAGCCCTCTAAGTCTGAGATCCAAGGATTTAGCTATGTGGGCCCTATCTGAACACATAGAAGAGTTTCCCTTCACCTTATTTCCTAAACAATACAGTCTATCAACTATGTATGACACTTGCATTGTAGTAGGCATTATATGTAAGCTAATGCAGATTTGAAGTGTACGGGAAGATGAGTCGGTTACATGCAGATAACCGTAAGTGTACAGAAAAGGATTCCCCAATGTTAGTGAACCCAGAGTGCAGAATAAAGCCAGAAGGTACCTCCAGGCTGCCACCAATATGGCAACAGTTTCTAAAGTTTACCATGTATTGTCAGAGCTCTGTAGAACAAATGAACTTTCATATTATTTCCACTACACAAAGTCATCGTAATCTGACCATTGTGAAATTTAGAGGCACGAAGACTTCCCCAGAGACAACAGCAGGTGGCAGGAGAGAGCGCGGGAGTTTTTTTTTTTTTTTTGTTTTGTTTTGTTTTTGTTTTCGGGATGGGGCGGGGCTTTTCTTAAAAAAAAAAAAAGGAAAAAGAAAAATTCCGTTGATGGTGTGCTCACTGAACTAGAGTCTACAGAAACCGTCCTCCTTCGGCCCT